GGGGGGGGGGGGGTGGGGAAGTTGGGAGGACAAAAGACAAGGGTTGAGACAAAAGTTGAGAAGACAAAAGATATCTGATTAAATTTCAGCACTACAGCTGCCCACAAAACAAAGCTTGATTGTTGGAATATACCCCTGTCATCCTCCTTTCTCCTTTCACCAACTGGGTTTCCCCCCAGGATGAACTGACAGACTTTTGGGAGAAAAACCAGCTGCTGGTGCTGGTCTGTGAAGGAAGACAACAGAACACCTTTGGTCCCCTTTGTCCCTTTTCCACTTTTCCTCTAGAAGGGTCTCTGAGAGCCCAGCAGATGGGGCAGTGACATAATTCCTTCATAGGTACATGACAGAGGCAAACAGGTGCTTTCCCACTTGACCAGAGAGGGATATTTCTAGATAATGTGATTCCTGAACCCTTGCCTCCTACTAGAATTGGGAAGTGGGGGGAACTCCTAGGCAGGATGATAGCTTCTACAAAGGCAAGAGGGATTTCTTGGATCTATAAAGTCCATTCTCAGGTTTCTGGTCGCAGACTTGTGTTCCATAAATGGCAAAGGGTGACCAGAAATTCTCTCTGTCCTCTGGGTGAACATGCTCAGTCTTCATCTAACGCTAAAGAAAGGTAGCTAGGCTTCTGTAGGATGGGCAGGGTAAAAGCACTGAAGACAAAGGGACCAGGACAAGGGAATAGCTTCTTCCACAAAAATCTGTCCCCCCTCAATTTGAGCCAAATGAGACTCCCATCACCTATTGAACTTATCAAGGGAAGAAGCTTGATCAAAACCCTTATGTCATCATTTTATGGATTAACAATTAGTTGCTGATATTTGTAAAACCTTAGTCTCCCTACAGTGACAACCTTTAAAATTTTTGATGCCTCTGATGTTCATTCTGTGTGTGACCTTGTGCAACTCACTTAATCTCTCTGGGATTCAGTTTCCTTTTTTTATAATGGGGGGGTGGGGAGAGTGGGTTGATTAAATGGCCTTTAAGATATCTTCAAACACCAGCACCAGATCTATAATTCTGTGATCTCATCAGCTCCCAACAACAATCACCTGAGTAAGTACTCTAGCTAATATAATTTCCATTTTACAAACAAGGAAACAAGTTTAAAAGTTATAGTGACTTGTCTCTGGATACAGCAGGTAGTAGATCCTCTTACTCCAAATCCTATCTTCTTTTCACTGAAAGTGCTGCTTCCTTTTCATCCCTCTTCCCAAGGACATACTAGAGCTATCTCAAACTAGCTTTCAAGAGAAGATTTGTTAAATTTTCAGTTTGGGCATTACATCTTAGGAATTTGCAAATGCTACAAATCAGGGCTTAATCTGTTATTTTGTGACTTGTATAAACTTAGTGAAATGATGGAGAAAATGTATGATTCAGATTAAACTTAAGTGTTTTTTTGTTGTTGTTGAGAACTGGTTGTTAAACATTTGCCAAGCACACTCCTACCTCTAGCTTATTCTTTCGTTATCTAAGTGCCCTAAAGCAAGCTCTACAAGTAGTGCATATTCTTCTCTTCCCTTATATTGTGAGCTTCTTGAGAGCAGGAACTATCTTTTGCCTTTCTTGTATCCCCAGGGCTAATGGCACAGTGCCTGGCATACAGTAGACACTATATAAATGTTTATTCCCTTCCCCTTTAATAAATGCTTATTAACTACTGACTTTCCTCATTAGAATGTAACCTTCTTGAAAACAGGACTTCTACCATTTCTTTATTTCCCCACAGCCTACAGTACTGTCTCTTCTCATTTCATTTGGACTTATTTTCATTTGTGTTCACAACTCCTGGAGGGAAAGTCCCTCCACCCATGCAGATCTGCAAGTGTAATTTAGTCTTTTAGAGAGTAACCTGGCATAGTAAGAGATTGTGACCCTCCCCTGAACATATACCCAATGGGCATCAGAGATCGAACTTGAATTTAGATTTTCCTGATTGCAACGCACTCTATCCACTTAAACAAGGAGCGCGTCTGCCTTGCACAAAGTAGGCGCTCAATAACTGCTCGAGTCGAAAAAATAAAGTGAGGACCAAGGCGGTAACTAGAAACTTCTGAGAAAATAAACGGTATTCTGATATTAAAATAAAGTAATGGGGTCGTTGGGCTTTTTTTCGCCTTTTTCAGTAGCAATTCTTATTTTTAAAAAAATCGTTGGATTGTTATTTTTCCTCTTCCGACAGAAATTGACTTTTTAAAAACTCATTGGATGGTTGGTTTCCCCCGCAATGAGTCCAGAAAACGGAAAGGTTCAGAAGCCCCGGCCAAGCTTTGTCTGACGCGCGCTTGCCCTTCTTGCCCGGGTTCAGCCAGACTACATTTCCGAAAGGTCTCTGCTCCCACCGAGTTCTACCAATCAGAGGGCAGAAAGACGAGTGCCGGGCGAAGAGCTGAATTTAGGCCTAGCCAGAAAGGAGACTAGACAGCCCCTCCCTGTTTCAAATCTCAGGCCTTAAGAGAAGGGCTCACTTTGCCGCCCTAAAAACATTTCTCGAAATAAAGAGACAAGTTTGTTCTTTTAAAAAAGAATAATGGTAGAAAACGTTCACACTGCCAACTTTGAGATCCGACTACGCTGGCGGAGAGCTGAAGTTTCCGCGTTTCCTGGGGCATGCTTGGAAGTACTAGTCCTCCGGCACACTGTTGCATGCTGGGAACTGTAGTCCCAGCCGCTCGCCACCTACCCCTTCAGGAATAGAGTGGTTTAGAAACGCACGACGACAAAGCCTGAGATTGTCGGAGCAGGAGGCCAGACCGCCATCCCAGGGTACGCACTCGGGTCGTATCGGGAGCTAATGAAGCTCTGCCTTTTAGGCCCGCAATCGGAGTACCCCCTTTCAATGCTCTCCTCCGCCCGTTCTCGAAAACCCTCCGCAGCCACCGTCTCCCGCCGCTCATTGGCCCTTTGACTCGTCGCGACTCCTGCGCACTAGATCCCTTTGAGGGTCTTGGGCAAGCGCCATTTTGGTCACGGAGGTGCTGCTGGGAAGCCTCTCTCCCGCCGGCTGGGGGACAAATCACACTAGGCCGGACCTAGGCAGCCGTCGGCTCTTTCTCCCGGAGGTTCCCGGCAGCCTCCCCGCCCCTTCTGTGTCCCGCCTTGCTGCAGGTCGCAGGGACCCCCACTCTGATTCGGGGTCCGGTAGGCGCCCTCCTGAGCCCCAGGCCGGGCTGAGCCGGGAGGGGAAGAGAGGGGGTCGGTAGCGGGGAGGAGGCGGGGGGCGCGGCGCGGGGGGCCCGGAGCCTCCCGGTGCAGGCGCCCACCTCGGGCCCGGGCCCGCCATGGAGATGGAGTATTACAGCGGCGACCAGTCAGGTGAGGAGGCCCCGGGGATGGCAGGGGCTGGAGAGGGGGCGAAGGGCAGGCTCCCCGGGGAACTTCCTGTGCTGCCCTGGGGAGGGTCTTCATCCAGGTTTGGGCCCATCCTCGGGGCCTCCGAACAACCCTGGGAGAAAAGAGGAGATTCTGGCGGAGCAGGGAGCGGAGATCGCGCCCCCGGGCTCGGGACAGTGGCCGGCACACAGTCGGCGCCTAATGGATGCTTGCTGACCGACCGACCGTTGTTTGCCTACGGTGAGACCACTTCTCCCCCAGAGTAAAGCCGGTCTCCGGAGCTGGAGAAACCCGGGAAGGGACACACTAGGTATCCGAGCAGACGCTGTCAGTTTCAGAGTCAGTTTTTTTTGGCTAAAGAGTTGCCAATCCGAGGGAATCCGCACTTGGTGTATCTTTTCAGAGCAGTGTCCCGGGCCTGCGACTCACCGAGCTTGCAACTCTTCTTGCCACCGAGATCCTCAGATGGCCTGCAGAGTCGGTAACCAAAGCATCTGCCAGAAAATAGCTCACTCCTGTGTAGGATTTGGTTTTTGTTGAGTGTTTTTCTCACAAAAGTCCTTTGAGTTGAATAGTGTAACAGTACTAAGCCCATTTTACAGATGAGGAAATGAAGGTTTGGAGAAGTAAGGAAACTGATGGCCACAGCTGTCCAGTGACCAAAACCCTAAGTTCTAAATTAGGCTTCAGGACGTTGGGCAAGTTGTTTGGTGTGTTAAAAAGGCGATGGACTAGATCAGGAGACTTGGGTTTTAGTACCCTTGATGGTTCTTACTGTATTTTGTGAACCTCAGTTTATTCATCTGTAAAAATTATTAGGTAGTACTAGTTGGTCTCTAAAGGATATTTAAATTAATCTTTAAATAGCATAAACTCTTTGAATTCCTTTCCCATTAGGAAGTTTCTTAGATTTTAGGCAGTGAACATTTTGGAAATGTGGTTTTGTTCTACTTGTATTCAGTAAATGTTCTAGATCAAAGGTGACTCCCAAGTGGCATTTAGTTGTTAGTGACATTTTGCACTACATACTGTAATTTTTTTTCCTCATCCTTCATTAAACAAACCTGCTATATCCCTGGCACTGTGCTAGGAACTAAGGATTCAAAGACCAAAAAAGAAAAAGAGGGAAGGAGAAAGAGAGCCTGCCTCATAGTGCTTGTATTTTCTATTCTTCCTCTTTCTAGCTGTCTTGCTTAATAATTCTTTTCTTTCTTCCATTTTTATGTCTTGGGTTTACTGGTGGTATCTGATGTCACTGGTTAGCCCCAGTGGGAATTCTTTGCCCCAGACGTGACTAATTAATGCTTTAGAATTATAGTTTAAATTTGATCCTGCCTTCGATTTAGATTGACTAGTAAGACCATGTAGCAAATAGTTGGCAAAATATGCTTATCAACATAAAGTAGTAAGGAATGCTTAAATGTTATTTCCTTTAATGCTTTCTAATGTTCATACTACAACTTGGATTACTAAATATTTTAATCTGTTTTTACCAGTATTCTTTATGTTGTAAGTATCCCAGATAGGATCAATGGCTTTTGAGTTGGGTGGTCCTAAAGTCTCTAAAGATGTTCATTGTGATTGCTGATGGATCTTTGAACACTAAAAAAAAATTATAGGTTGATGGTGGTCAGGGGCAAAATAGATGTTGAAAGTAAAAAATCCTTTTCAAGCTAGTGTATCTATATTATGATTGGGAGTATATCTAGAAGTTTTATTTGAAAGCTACGTAGATAGCAACTTTTGTGACCTATTTCACCTGATAGTCAAATACTTGTAGGTTGATTTACTTTTTTAAATGATTACTTCAGATCTTTCATGTGCAAAATTAATATTTGGAGATGTTATATTTAACTTTTGTGACCTATTTCACCTGATAACCAAGTACTTGTAAGTGTAGATTGATTTACTTTTTTAAATCAGCACTTCAGTTCTCTCATGTGCAAAATTAGTATTTGGAGGTGTGGTCCTTTATATGGACCTTCATATTTGTGGATTACTTTGCCATGCTGTATTTTAGGGTCTACCAGAATGAGATCTGATTTTCAACATGAAGTGTAGTATGATCTAGTTAGCCAAATAGGAGTGATGTTTAGAGATCTTTCACTTGCTCCCTGGCTTCTCCATTGATGTTTGCTAAGTTCTACATACCTCTCATCATATTGATGTGGTTACTAGTCATTGTTTTACTTGTCATTATATGACATATATAACATTTTTAATACAAATCTAATGTAGAAATGTAATGTCCTTATGCTGTTTGCTAGTGGCAACCTTTGGCTATACTTTAAACTTAATCTTAGTTGTAGCCCAAGACATCATCGATCTTACCCTTTAAGTGGGATTTTTATTGTTTTGTTTTTGAGCAGATGATGGTGGAGCTACCCCAGTACAGGATGAACGGGATTCAGGGTCAGACGTTGAAGATGATGTAATTGAGCAGCACTCTGGATCAGACAATGGAAGTTTAGAGCATCATTCAGAGGTATTGGTTGAACAGCATCTTTGGGGAGGATTCATTGTTGTATTTAATTAGAACTGCTTCCTTTGGAGTGGATCTTGGAAATTATGTCAGAACTTGTCATCAAAACTTAGTGATTTGTAGGGGAGCAAGGTGGGAAGGGTGGGGAAGTTAATTAAAAAGTTTTTTTGGAAGTAAAAGTAGAGTTGCTTATTGTTTATGAATTGGCAGTAAAAACAGTTTTGGTTGCTTTAAAATTTTCATTCTTTTATTTTCAAATATTAGGCAATTGCAGCCTTGAATGTGGGTGTAAAAAATGAATTAACCTGATAGTGGCTTCCAGTCCTAGTCAGATTTACTGATGCCATATGATGGCAGTAAGCACCAGCAGCTTACAGAAGTAAAGTGTCAGTCTTCAGTCACAGATTGTGGAGCATATTACAAATTTTCATAGTAAACTACTATCTGCTAAAACTTTATTTAAGGATCTGATCCTCAAAGGCTTGTCTGGTTAGAACAGTGTATGAGAATTTAAAAGTTAAATTAAGTTGCCTGTTTATACTCTTCAGTCAGCATGAAGTTCCAGGGCTGAAGTTGTTAAATTACATATGTATTAATGATCAAAGCAAAATTGAGCTTAAAAAGGTGTGGAGATTCAAGAACCCAGCTGTAGGTAAGTTCTGCACAAAAACATTTCAGAGTGGTCAGCCTAGTCCTCAGACTAGATGGTCTCTAAGGTCTTATCTCTTTCTAACTTCACAGGTATGTGTAGATAACTTAAAAACTATATCACCACCTTCCTAGGTCTTATAGGCAGTATTATACACCGGTAATAAAAATAAAACTAACATTTATTACTCTCCTGTAAGTTGTTATATGCAAGATTTGAAGCACAAGGAAAAAGGAACAGTAAAGACAGTTTGATTTTTTTGTTTAAGCAGTATGTCATTGAATTAGTGAAGAAGTGTTTGTGCACATGTGAAAATGAAGAACATTCTTCAATAATGTAGTGAATATGTTCCCAATATGTTTATTCTTTCCAGCAATACAGATTGCAACCCTTATATTCCTTCCCAATCTTTGTGTTCCCCTTCAGAGCCTTTGCAGAGGCTTTCTACCTAACAATAAGAGGCCTTTAAAAAAATTGTATTTATTAGTGCGGCAATCAAGCTATCCATCCCTTGCACCTGTTATGTATCACATGCCAATTTACTTTTTCCAGTCATTTCTTGTATGAGAGCCCTTAAACCATTTCTTTTGTATAGTTCATCATTGGGAGCATCTTTCTACCCACCATGCATCACTCCATTGCCCCTGTGTCACCTGTAACTTTAAGTCTTCAGATTGTGGTGTTCATAGAATCTGAGATTTAGAAGGGCCATCTAGTTCCTAAATCCACAAAAGGAATCCTCACTCTGAGAGTCCCAAAGTGGTTTTTTAGCCTCTGCTTGAAGACCTTCAATGAGGAGAAACCTCCTGTTTCCCAAAGCAGCCCATTCTACTTTGAGACAGCTCTAATTATTAGAAAGCTTTTCCTAGCCTTATGCTTAAATTTTCCCTTTTGCAACTTCTACTCATTACTCTCTAGAGACAAAAAAGAATAAGTCTCATATCTGTTGCACGTGACAGCCATTTAGAAACTTGAATACAACTCTCATATTTCCTCTTAGCCTTTTCTTCTCCAAGCTAAGCATCCCCAAGATGCTGATCCCCATGGACATGAACTCAGGGACCTTTACCATTCTGATTGCCCCACTCTGGTCTTTACAGAATAATTAGCCTTGTGCTCAGGACTGGACCAGAAGACATAGTAAAAGTTCTTGCACTGGTTCATCACAGTGTAAGTGGAGAAGACTGATTCACAAGTATAAAATATCCAGAGAAGAGTGCAGGACACTGTCCAGTCCAGTCTGAGACAGTAAGGTTGTGGAAACTCCAAGAAAAAGATGAGGAAGAACTCGAGCAATCAACAACCTCTACCTGTAGGGAGAGGTCATGATATCTTAGATTTAGAGCTGGAAGAGACCTCAGAACCTCTGGTCCAACTACCTCCTTTCTACAGATAAGGAAACTGAAGCCCAGAGTGGCTAAGTACATTGCTCAAGGTCACTCTGGCATAGCCAGGATTTGAACCTAGTTCATCTACTATAAATCTCTCATCCTTTCCAATGTATCATGCTTCTCCACCAAGTACTTTAGCTCCAGCCTGGAGGATGGACAGAGAAGAGCAAGGTGGGCATGCCAGGTAAAAGAAGTGATGTAGAGGCAGGAATGACTGTGGCCTGTGCAGCACACTTTGTGATTAGCTGCAATGAAAGGTGAATGTTGAGCAAATATTGACATTATCATGAAACAGTTTAATTTTTAATAAAAGCACTAGCAATGAGTCAAGGGCTCCTATTGCACATTTTAAAATGGTATTAGCTATTAAAATGGTTATTTTCACAAACCTGGTTGTATGTAAATTGAATTGAGAAAATATAATTTAGTTTTCAAAAGTAAAAAATTTACAAAAAATTATTGGTTTTCCTATTTCTTTAATGACTTCTTTGGATTCTCGTTCTCTTACCAGCTTCTTAATGTGGGCATTCCCCAGAGGTCTGTCCTAAGGTTTCCTCTCCCTGCACTCTTATTTTGCAGTCTCTGACTCTCAAAAGATTTTGTTGTCTTTTGATTTCCATAACAGCATCTTCATTTTCCTACATGACACCTCTTCCTACTGTGTAAACGTGTTGGAATATACTGGGCATATAATAAATACTTGTTGCTTGACTGATCCAGATGATAGGTGAAATTTAAACAGTCCGTTAAGGTTTACAAAGTACTAAGTTTGCTGTCTTCTTTCATCCAGCCTTAATCTTTTTCCTCAACTCCAGTCCCATGTTACCAGCTTGCCTGCTAGACATTTACTCGATGTCCCATTCACATCTCAAATTCTTCATTTTCAGACTAGAACCTGGTGTATTTCTCTCCATATTCATCTCTCTGCCAAACTTCCACATTTCTGTTGAGAGCACCACCACCATCCTTCAATCACACAAGTTCATCTAACACTTAGCACTGAACTTGGCACATGGTAGGTGCTTAATAAATGCTAATTGACTAACTGACTAACTTCCCCTTACCCTCTGTATCTAGTCAGTTCACAAATCTTATAAAACCTACCTCCACAGTATCTTTAGTACTAATTTCCTTCTTTCTGTGTACAGGCATCCCTCGGAGATATTGTGGGTTCAGTTCCAGACCACTGCAATAAAGCAAATATTTCAATAAAGCAAATATTTCAATAAAGCGAGTTACATGAATTTTTTGATTTTTCAGTGCATATATGAGTTATGTTTACACTATACTGTAGTCTTTTAAGTGTGCAATAGTATCATTTCTAAAAAACCCAATGTGTATACCTTAATTAAAAATACTTTATTGCTAAAAAAAAAAATGCTCACTATCATCTGAACCTTCAGTGAATTGAAATCTTTTTTCTGGTGGAGAGTCTTGCCTTGATGTCAATGCTGTTGACTGATCAGGGTGGTGGTTGCTGAAAATTGGGGTGGCTGTGGCAATTTCTTAAAATAAGACAACAATGAAGTTTGCTGCATCTGTTGACTCTTCCTTTCATGAAAGATTTCTATGTGATATACAATGCTGTTTGATAGCATTTTTACCCACAATAGATCATCTTTCAAAATTGGAGTCAGCCCTCTCAAACCCTGCTGCTGCTTTATCAACTAAGTTTATGTAATATTTTCTAATATTTTTGTGTCTCAGGAACGAGGGAGGCCTGAGGAGAGGGAGAAAGATGGTAGAGGGGCCAGTGGATGGAGTAGTCAGAACACATGCAACATTTATTGATTAAGTTCGTTGTCTTTTATATGGATGAGGTTCGTGGCACCCCAAAACAGTTACGCTAGCAACATCAAAGATCAGTGATTACAGATCACCACAAGAGATACAATAACGAAAAAGTTTTGTATATGTAGAGCCTATGTCAGATTGCACATCGTCTTGGGGCAGGAGGAGGGGATAGGGGTGGGAATTTAAAACTCAAAAGCATATGGAAATGATTGTTGAAAACTAAAAATAAATTAATAAAAATTTTTTTGGTTTTTTTAAAAAATGAAAAAGTTTGAAATATTGTGAGAATTATCAAAATGGGACACAAACATGATGTGAGCGCATGCCACTGGGAAAATAGCTCCAGTAGACCTGCTTGATACAGGATTGCCACAAACTTTCAATTTATTTAAAAAAAAAATGCAGTATCTGCAAAGCACAATAAAATGAGGTGTGCCTATACACAGCTTCTACCCTAGTTCATCACCTCACTTGGACTATTGTATTAGCCTCTTAATTGGTCTTTCTGATTCCAGTTTTTCCCTTTTCCATCCATCCTTCATGTGGTTGCCAAATTAATATTCCTGAAGCACAGATCTGACCTTGGTGTCTCCCCACTCAAAAGCCTTCAAAGGCTCCCTGTTGTCTCTTGAATTTATTCCTCACAGCAACCCTATGACATAGGAGTTATCACATTCAAAGGTGAGAAAAAGATGAGGTTCAGAGATATTGTGACTTAGCCTCGTCACACAAGTTTGAAGAAGTTGTATTTGAACCCAGGTCTCCCCAAGTTCAGTGCTCTTTTCGCTATACCACAATTTCCTCCTGATGTCTCCACAGTGCCATTGTGATTCTGCACATCCCAAAACAAAGCTCATTATCTGGCTCTCCAAAATTGTTCCTCCTTCATTACTTCTGTCCATTCCTATGCCCTATTCTTACAACCTTGGGACTATCTTTGAGGCATTACTAGGTGCGCATTGGTGTTAATATGGTGGATTTTTATATCAGAATCTTGGACAATCGGAGCATGTGCCTCAGAGACTCCCCTATTGGAGGAGAGCCCTTAAGGCTGCCTTTTGCTTTACTGAGTCCAATGCTTTTTTGTAATCATTAAGTACTGCAGGTGTGTGCACCAGAAATTCTCCATTCTGTTGACATCATAGGCCTGGACCAAAAAACCCATATTTGGATCAGAAAACTTTTGGAAAGCTTTCTTATTAACTTCACATACCTGTGTACACGTATCTACAGAGATTCCCAAACTTATTACTGCCTCCTTTAAAAAAAAACAAAAACAAAAACTACTTGGTACTCCCCGGAAATCTACTTTCTTTAACCTTTTAACAGTTTTTTAAAAAATTTGCATCATTTCAAAAAAATAATTTTTTCAAAATGGCGCATCTTAGATGTAATACTTTATTGTAAATTTGTGGGTTTTTTCCTGCACTGAAATTTTGATGATGTGTTATCATATCACATAACTGTGTAGTGTCATATTGTAAACAAGTCATTACACATATTCTTGCCTACACATGCTGGACTTTGACAATGGTGCCAACACTTGCTTGTTAAGACTTGTCTTTGGACTTGACCAGTGATCAGTTATAACTTGCATTTTGTTTGTTTATTTGGAAAATAATGTAATCACTACAACTTTAACTCTGTTATACAATAGATGAAACATGTATGAACGGTTTTTCAAAATTTTCTTTATCTTCTCTTTCCTTATGCTTACACTACCCCCTTATTTTCATTCAAAGCCCCCCAGTTGCATCCCAGGCTACTGCCGCCCCTCCTTGGATTGTTCCAGCGCCCCCCAGGGGGCAGTATCGCTCACTTTGGGAACTTGTGGTCAGATCATTAAATTTTTTTATAGATGACAAAGTAAATATATAGATTGGTAGTTATCAATGCCCTGTTAGTTACCTTTTTTAGGAGTCAATGATTTTTATCCCATTCTTTTGTCATTTTCTCCCTGACATGACATAAAAAAAATTCCTCAATAGTTTCAAGATTTTCACCTCCAACATAGATTTAATGTGTATACTTGGTCTGGCTTGGCATCCCTTACCAAAACTTCATTGTCTTAAATGTCATTTTTCCTTCAACAAATAATAGCTCAGTAAGAATTGGCCTTTAAATTCCACATGCAATGGAAACTAACATTTTCCATTGATTTGTTGCCCTTTTGCCAATGTCACATGTGAATGCCCTTGGAATGATAACAGTTAGGTCTTTCCCCAGGATATCTACAGATTTGTTTTTGCTTTTCACAGTTGCATGAGGCAGTGATGCTCATTATCTTCCATAGTGATTTACAAATGAGTTTGTATTCCAAACTGTTTCCTTTTGTAACCATGTCTATACATAGCAAAGACATTTTTGCTGATTAAGGTAAAGTTCATCAGGAACTTAGTGGTAATTGAAGTCAGTATCTTTATCATTTTGCTCCCATTTTCCAGCATCATTGGCTTTATTGAGTGCTCAGTATTGTCTTCTCATTTTTATGCATCTAATATGTTGCGTTTGACTTTTATCCTAACTAGTCAATGGTCCAGCTCTACAGAGATAATCATATAAGCATTCCCATCTATTAAGAGTTATTTTAAAATAATATTTGGTATTCACTGTGCAAGCGATAGTAAGCAGAGAGTTCATAAGAGAATAGATCTAGAGCTCGAAGGGCCCTCAGAGGACATCTAGCCCAGTCCTTTATTTTATCTTCAAGGTTAATCGATTTGCCAAAGGTCACAAGGTAGTACATTAATGCTTAGAGAGTGACTGAGAGGTGAGGGTTGGGGTGGTCACTTAACTTCTAAGACTTCTGGCACTTTGCACAATGAAACCAACTCTGCTAATAAGTACTGCATAGAAAAATGTTTAAATATTTTTAAGTAGATCTAATTCTTAGAATTGTCATTAATAACATCTATCAGATGAATTCATCAATCAATCATTTATTAAGCGCTTACTATGTGCAAAGTACTGTGCTAAGTGCTGGGAATACAAATAAAAAAGTAATACTGACCTTGTACTCAAGGAGTTTGCATTCTAATGAGGGAGACAGTATATATAGGAAGTTTCAGCTGCAAATTAGATGGAAGGTTCCATGGTCCATGGTCCTTAAGAGGCTACAGCAAAGCAAATGGTAATGTCTCTTCTTTAATGTCCATTGGCCACTTCTCTGTTGAGTTATCTTCAGTCATGTCTGACTCTTTGTGACCCCATTTGGAGTTTTCTTGGCAAAGATACTGGAGTATCTTTCTCCGAGTGTCTGAAACCAGATTTGAATGCAAGAACTTGAGTCTTCCTGACTCCTGGCCTAGCACTCTGTCCATTATGCCACCCAACTGCCACTTCTCTATTAGAGAATGGCTTTTTATTTTGTGTTTGGGGATGGAAAGAAAGTGAGGATTACTCTAGAGTATCCAGTTAGGAAGCTCTAACATTTTATATGAGAACTGCCTGCCTGAGATGTTAAGTAACTTACCCACGTTAAAACAGCTAATAAGTGTTAAAAGGTGGGTCTTCAGCCCAAATTTTCTTGACTCCAAGACTAACCTGTCCTTTGTAGCACATTGCCTCTCTTAGTTTTAATAGTTTCTATCAATTACTTATACAAAATGATCAGAGATGGTGATAATGATGGTCAAGTAAATTATGAAAACTTTATACAAACAGTGACAGCAAAGTAAAGACATACGGAGGGCACTAAATTTCTTGTACAAAATTGTTTATTTGCTTTTTCTTTATAACTTTTCTATAAAAGAAACCTTTTTAGGGGAAACTCTTTTCTGTCAAAAGGATATGCATGTATCAGGAGTAATTAGGGGTTTATTCTTCCATGTCTTCTCTTTATCTTATCATCAATTGTTTTGAAATTTTCTTTTGGAAAATTAATCAAGTAAGATCTTGTATGTGGCTTACTATGGTTATAGACAGTCAAGCCCTTCTGTACAAGTAAGATTAGCTAGAGTTTACTCAAATAAGAGCATACCTGAGATATGCCTTCCGCCCTCCCACCTTCTCTTCTTGTATTCCTTCCGTCCTTTATAAGAAATAGTTTTCTTTAGAAGCTGTCAGCATGATGTTGAAGTGTGGAGTTGTAATTCCTCACGGACTAGATAGTTAACAATATATCCTTAAAATTGCATTATTGCAAACAAGTGAATTTTCCACCTAGTTGTATGCTCTTTTTTTGTATTACTAGTGCTATATCAAAAAGCATTTTCTTTTATTATTTGATTTTTAAACTTTGTTAAACCACTTAACCTGCTATGCCACAGTCCATCCCAAGTTGTATTTTTTCTGGTTTAAAAAAAAAAAGAGATATGGCACTGAAAAGAGGTTAAAATGGCAGGGTCATAGATGATGATTTATTTGTGTAGTGGTCTCCAGAGGGGGTGCACACCCCCTCTGGAGTGTGTGTGTGTGAGTGTACTCCATCAGTAAATATTTTTTGAATATGTACCCCTCTGTGTATGTGGGTGTATATTTACTTATTTATGAATGATATACATGTACTGCTATTCTTATGCTTGGGTACATTATAAAACTTAAACAGAAATAAAAACTTTATATAATAAAAGATAAAAATAATTGTTGATCCTAGAGTCAATTAGGAGTCCCTAGAATTTGAATAGTAAGGGATTGACATGGTTAGACATGCATGTCAGGGAAATCACTTTGACAGCTGAGTGGTGAATGGATTGGAGGGGAAAACTTGAGGTAGGGAGACCAATTAGAAGATCATCACAGTAGCCCAAGGGAGAGGTAATATGGGTCTGAACCAAAAAGTGGTGGCTGTGTGACAGGAGAGGAGATGTATGTTAGAGATGTTGAAGACGATGTTTGCCAGCTGATTGAAGTTTTGATGGATGGTGGGGCCTTTGACTGATATTAATAGGGAAATTTGGAAGGAGGAGAATTTGGGAGGGCAGAATGATGATGAAATGAGATCTTTAATGCACACTTCAGCAGGCCTCTTCAGGCTATGGATTCATTTTCTTCTACCCAGTGAAAAGAGGGAGAGGCAGGGACACTCATCTTACTCACTGGTCACTGCCTTAGAGCACCAAGCCCATCCTAATGGGGGTGCTTGTCACACAGTGAGATGAAATGGGATAAGTATGTGGGGAGGGGCAATTTTTCCAGTGGTACCTTTGTAGCTACTGCTCTGGGTACCCAGTAGCAGTCAGATTATAACTTCTGAGGGGGCAAATGCCTGGCTCAGAGGAGGGGAAGGTTGGGAGTTTGTACAGCTGAGGGGGCTTGTTGAGGGTTGAGTGGGTATAGTTATTTTGTAGATGAACCCCATGATTGACTATCCTGGAGAGGGTACACTGAGACCCATCTTCACACTCTCTGATTAGTCATTCTCACATAACTCATTGGAATCAGGCTTAACATAACCTTACTTTGGAAACCACTGAGAGAGAGGAAGAACCACAAGGCTAAACTTTAGGGTATTCTACTTTAATGGACTGGAGATTAATGTAGAGAGTGTCTTTACACTTAACTGTAATGATTTCAGCTGCCATTAAAATATTTCTTAGCTCCTATCTTCTGCATTCCTTTCCCTCAAAAACACAACCACTATGCCTTTAAATATTTTTGATTTAGTGCTTTTTGTATTTAGTTTGGTGAGAGCTGGCTTATCTTTCCCCATTTGGGGCATCAAATGATGAGTTACCATAATACTCTTGTTTTTTCATAATTGCACATTTCTACATGTAGTTTTCTTTTCAGTATATACAGCTATGGAGTATTTTAATTCATAAGTATTACACATTTTTAAAAATGCATTTTTATTACGTTTAAAAATTCAACTACTGTAATCTTTTTAAATGTTATTAATTTTCCTTGTTTTTTTTTTCCCTCTTGCAGAATGATCATAGTGATAGAGAAGATGATGGACGTATTAAAAGACATCATATGACAGACTCAGAAAATGAGGACCTTACAAATCACAATGTTAGTGACTCTGAAAATGAGGAGCTTCATAGGCATAAGTATAGTGACTCTGACACCGAAGACCAGCCAGACCCTCCAGTAAGTGACTCTGAAAATGAGGACCTGAATCATCCCACAAGTGACTCTGAAAACGACGAGCCCCAGAAGCTGCCTGCTAGTGACTCTGAAAATGACGAACCTCTCAATGGGCATGCAAGTGACTCAGAAAATGAGTATGCTCCTAAGCTTCCCGCCAGTGACTCTGAGAATGAGGAATTTCAAAAAGGTATTGATAGCGATTCAGATGTTGAAGAGCCCCAGAAAGGTCCTGCCAGTGACTCGGAAGCTGATGAGTCCCAGAAAGGTCCTGCTAGCGACTCAGAAGCTGATGAATCCCGGAAAGGTCCTGCCAGTGACTCGGAAGCTGATGAGCCCAGGAAAGGTCCTGCTAGCGACTCGGAAGCTGATGAATCCCGGAAAGGTCCTGCCAGTGACTCGGAAGCTGATGAGCCCAGGAAAGGTCTTGCCAGTGACTCGGAAGCTGATGAATCCCGAAAAGGTGGTGCCAGTGACTCCGAAGCTGATGAGCCCAGGAAAGGTCTTGCCAGTGACTCGGAAGCTGATGAATCCCGAAAAGGTGGTGCCAGTGACTCCGAAGCTGATGAGCCCAGGAAAGTTCTTGCTAGTGACTCAGAAACTGATGAACCCAGGAAAGGTCCCATCAGTGATTCAGATGCTGAAGAGCCCAGGAAAGGTCCAGCCAGTGACTCGGAAGTTGATGAGCCCAGGAAAGATCCTGCCAGTGATTCAGAAGCTGAAGAGCCCCCAAAAGGGCCTGCCAGCGACTCAGAAGCTGATGAGCCCCAAAAGGGCCATGCCAGTGACTCTGAAGCTGAGGATGCCCCTAAACTTGCCAGTGATTCTGAAAATGAGGAGGCCCCAAAACGCCAGCGAAGTGACTCTGAAAGTGAGGGGCTTCAGAAGGCTCATGCCAGTGATTCCGAAAATGAAAATTCCTCTAGACAAAAACAGAAGATTGAATCAGATGATAGTGACAGAGAGAACAGGCGGGATAAAGGGAAATTACAGAATGACTCTCTGCATTCAGGTAGCCATCCAGAGGAGAAAATATTTCACAGCTCTGACAGTGAGGATGAAGCACCTAAAAGGCAGAAAATGGATAGTGATGAGGATGAAGAGAAGGAAGAAGAGAAAGTAGTAAAGAGGAAAGCTGCTATCCTTTCTGATAGTGAAGATGAAGAGAAAGCACGTAAGATCACTTTTTAAAAAATTTTTATTACTCTCACCTTTGTTTACCATCATGTCTGCTAATAGAGCCTGTTGGAGTTTCTTTGTTTTTGTTAGTTTTATTTTTTTGGTATCTGAGGTTTAAAATGTCTCAATGAAATTTATAAAGGCTTATCTTTGAATTTAACTTACCATGAATTATCAGCAAACTATAACTAAGGGAAAAGCATTTCTGGAATAAAAAGTTGAAATATGAATAATGGGAATATAAGGGACTTGTATTGTTTTTAGAGAGGGTTCACTGAGATAAATGTATGTAGCATAATGATTATACTCAGATTTGACTGAGTAGTTTTTGACTGAACCTCCATAGTGGTTTGAGATGAAACAATGGAGACAGAGCCAAATGATAGCTGAGCTATTTGCCACATCTTGTCCTTTCACACCTTGGTAAAATTTGATGCTACTGTAAGCATCTCAACCTTTTTAAAATTACCCTGTTAGCACAGCTGCCAATTCTGATTTTACCGCTTTCTTTGGACGTTGAAACAGAAGTGTATTCTCTCCTTGAGTACTTAGCTGAGCAGTGCCTTCCAGGGGAAGGGCATCAGATGTGAGGTGATCAGAGCCAACACCAGTGTGATGGTAGTATCAGAGGAGAGAAAATGTTATGAAGGTAAAAATTGACAGGACTAAACAACTGATTGAATGTGAGCGGAATATGGGATAAAGGAGAGTAAGGAGTCAAGAATGACTTCTAGGTTGCAAATCATGGGTGATTGAGAAGATGATAGAGCCCCCACAGTAATTTAAGGTAACTTAGGAAGAGGAGAGGGTTTGGAAGAATAATAATGAGTTCAGTTTTAGATGTTTTGAATTTAGACATGTTGATGTCTACAGGACATCCAATTTGAGATGTCTAGAAGCAATTGGAAATGAGAGACTGGAAGTCAGGAGCGAGGTTGGGATTGGATAAATAGATCTGAGAATCATCAGCTTAGGGATGATAATTGAATCCATGAAAACTGATGAGATCACTAAGTGAAATAGTTTAGAGCAGGGCTGGGGGAGTCTGTGGTTGAATCCAAACTTCACAGAACAAATCCCCTTAATAAAAGGATTTGTTCTGTAAAACTTGGATTCAGTCAAAAGGCTGTACCCAAGGACCTAGGAGACCACATGTGGCCTCAAGGCCGCATGTTAACCCACCGCTGGTTTAGGGAAAGAAGAGAGTCTAGGACAGAGCTTTGAGGGACACTCCCAGTTAGCAGGCTCAACCTGGATGGAGATCCAGCAATGGAATCTGAGAAGGAATGTAGGAGAAAGGTAGGAGATGAACCAAGAGAGAATAGTGTATCACAGACTGCTAGTGACTATCGAGAAGAGAATGATCAACAGTGTCAGAGGCTGCAGAGAGGGCACGAAAGATGAGCATTGAGACAAGGCCATTAGATTTGACAATGAAGAGATCATTGGTAACTTTGGAGAGAGCAGTTTCAGGTGAATGATGAGGTTGGACACTTGACTACAAAGAGTTAAGAGAGTGAGAGGAAAGGAAATGGAGGCACCAGTTGTAAATGACCTTCTCAAGGAGTTTAGCAGTGAGAGGAGAGATATATAGTTAAGATTGTTAGCAAGGATAGCAAAACAAGTGAGGATTTTTTTTGAAGATGGAAGAGGCATAAACATGTTTGTAGGCATTAGGGAAGTAGCCAGTACACAGAGATTGAAGATAAATGAGAGATGGGGCAGCTAGGTGGCACAGCGGATAGAACACCAGCCCTGGAATTAGGAGGCCCTGAGTTCAAATCCAGCCTCAGACACTTGATACTTACTAGCTGTGTGACCCTGGGCAGGTCACTTAACACCAATCGCCTCACCAAAAATAAATAAGTAAATAAAATGTGAGAGAAACTCAAATTTAGGTGACAGGAAGAGGATGAATCAATAGTAGAGCTAATGGTCAAGAAGCAAATCAAGAAATAAAAGTGTGGTAGAAGTCAAGGAAGAAAAAGTATCTAGACAGTGAGTGTCACCAGTGCCAGATGCTACAGAAAGGTTAAGGTGTATCACCTGTGAGAACAGTTTCAGAAGAGTAGTGGTGACAAATTTCAGTGAACTGAGGAGTTCAATGAGTGTTAAGGAAGTGTGGAGGTAGCACGTATAGGCTCTTGTTTAGTAATAATGGATGAAAAGAGGACTTGAAGTGATGTCAAAGTCTAGGGAAGTTTTGTTTTTTTTGTTTTGTTTTGTTTTTGATGATGTGTTTTTGTAATGGAGAATACCAACATGTTTGTAGGCATCAAGGAAGCCGTGCATGTGATGTAGGCATAATTGATGATAGAAGGTCCCAAAGGAGAACAAAGAGGTTGGCATTAAGTGTACAAGTATAGAGGGGTTAGCTTTGGCTTGAAGAAAGGCTCCCTCGTCTTCTGGAACTGAAACAAAGGAGGATAGAATGAGTGAGGGCAGTTTGAGGTTTGAGAGGAGGACAGATAAGGGAGCTCAAAATAGCTATACTCAGTTTTCTCAATAAAATACTTGGAGTAGGGGTATAACTGAGGGAAGAGCTTTGGAGCAGCTACCAGGAAGAGTGTGACAAGATGAATAAAAGCATTGTCATGGGTCCATGAAAGCTCCAGTTGATGTTATATTGCATCAATATGTAGTTAACCCAGGATGTTTTCTTGACTTCCTGCTGTACCATGTAGCTGGCAGTAGGATTGGAAAAATCAGATGATGGAAGCCAGTGTTGGAGATTAGCAGGATGGAAAGTGGAAGGAAAAGAGAAGGAATTCAAGAGTGGAGGACACCTTGTTGAAATGACTGACTATAAAGGCTTGACTGCAAAGAGAGAGAAGTGAAACCATAACTGGGAAGTACAGGGAGGTACTCAAATACTCCTTTGGCATGAGGCCAAAGAACACTGAGAAAAAGTGAAGTAGCAAAAGAGATGGAAAAGCAGGAGAGTTTGACTATAAAGAGTTTCAGAGTTCTGAACCTTAGAGATGGAATAGTCATGGTGAGATTTACCCTTTGGGTAGTTCAAGTAGGAGTAGAGATAAAAGTCTTGAAAGTAAAGGAGGAAGGATCTGGATATGGTCATATAACTGGTATGAATGTGAAAGGAATAAAAAAGGTTATTGAGTTATGGTGCCAGAAAGAAAGGTTTGGAATCGTGATTAAGGTAGTTGCCCCCTTTTTCTGGCCCTGAAAGTCAGAGAACATCCCAGAAGTAGTGGCCATTATTTTAGAGGGAAACAAGGGATATAGTTTCTTCAGGAGAAATCAGGCATTTGTTAAAGGCATTTAATAAAAAGAGGAAATCTAAGGCAATGGGATCTTGTTAATGATATGGTAGGAACGTGGGCAGGGGGGGCAGCATGGTGCAAGAATGGGTGGAACAGGCTAGAGACTGGGTAGAGCAAACGGGTGAGGTGGATGGTGGTACATCCTGATAGTACAGGAAGAGGTAATTGAAGAAAGAAATTTCCACCAAAGCAGGTGGTGATTCTTAATGTCCAGAATTACAGGAGAATAGTTATTTGCTAGCTGTGGAGCAGAAAGATTACTAGCAAGAAAAAAATTTGTAAAGTAAATCAATACGAAGGGTCTCTTTAGCATGTTGGTACACTTTCAGCATAATCTGGATCTGTTTATTTCAAGCCCTAGAGAGCATTTATTTTAAAAGTTCTGGAGTTCCTCCCTCGCCTCACCCCCTACTCCTACCCCCTACCCTGCTATATTTCAGAGGGTTGGTTATGCTTAGTGACCATGATACAGTTGTTTTCAGCACATTACACTGAGTATGCCCTCCTTCTGGTTACTCAGATGCCAGGTTCTTCTGGTTCGCCTCCTACTTCTCTGTTACTCTTTTTCTGACTCCTTCACTAGTTCCTCATCCTTAAGATTAGTGTTACCTCAGGGTCTGTCCTTGGCCCTCCATTTCCCTATATCTCTTTTGGCAGTCCTTTTCACTCCCATACCCTCAGCTCTTAACCTCTTTACAGATAACTACCCTTCTGCAGCAATAGCTCTGGCCTCTATTCTTACATCCCAATTTACATTTCCAACTACCTAGAAGATAAATCTCCCTAGATTTCCCACCAAAACATCAAACTCAACATGTCCAAAGCCAAGTTTGTTTTCTTTTCCCCAAAACCTACTTTTCTTTTCTGATTTTACTGTTTCTCTCAATGGTAGTGCCTTTTGCCTATTTTCCTGTTTTCAGAATATTGATCTTATCATTGGCTTTTCTCTGTTCTTTACCTCGCAAGTTTAGTTAAATTCCACCTCTGAAACATCTTTCACCTCATCTCTATTTCCTCTAGTAGAGGATTTCACTCATTTAGTAGAGATTTCACTCATGAGCACCTGCCTAGACAATTACAGTAGCATATTTAGCAAGTTATGCCACTGCTCTTCATTCTATCCTTAATATTTCTGCTAAACTAATCTTCCTTATGCATAAATTTGATCACATCTTTGCTCTGCCCAGAAATTTTACCTACCAAGTAAATTAGTTATCCTTTCCCTGGCATTCAGGGGACCATCCACAACATAGTACTGCTTTACCTTTTCAGACTTGTCTCACCCCTCCAAATATCCTATACATACTTAGGCTAAATTGAACTACCAGGTTCCCTGAACATACCCTCTTGATTTTGTTGACACTGTTCCTGTGTCTGGAAAACTTTCTCTCTCTCCCACCGCCCTTCACCAGTTGTGTTCTAGTCAGTCTTTTAAGGCCCATTTGAATTGCCACCTCCTCCATAAATCCTTCTTTGGTCCCTGAGTTGATAATGTGTATACTCTTATGGACCTTACATAATACATGTTTAATGTGCTTTTTAAAAAAACTGTAGTAATATTTGTGTCATATCCCCTTACTAGGGTAGAACAACAAGCTTCATATTTCCCCCATTGCCTAACATAATTGCTGTACACAATAGGTGCTTAATAAATGTTTGTGGTACTGAACTAAATAAGATGAAGTATGTGAAAACTTGACAAATATAAAATGCTGTAGAAATATATTATTATTAACATTATTTGCTTATTAATAGCTGCAAAGAAGGGGCGCATCGTCTCTGATGCAGATGACTCTGACAGTGATGCTGCTTCTGAAAAATCTGCCAAAAGACAGAAAAAAACTGTAGCATCAGAGAGTGAAGAAGATGACGCTGGGAAGGAAGAGACTGGCAAGAAAAGTGAAGAGAAAGATCTGTTTGGGAGTGACAGTGATTCAGGAAATGAAGAGGAGTAAGTGACAATTTAAATGTATTCGAATTTCCAGATTCTTACAAATAAAGTTTAGGAAAATTTTGTGTATTTCATATACATTGAAGTTACCTATTAAGCTGACAGTAATATGGCAATATCCTAAATTTTTATGATCTGTTGGAATCTGGGTTTTTGGATACTTTGGAAATGCCCATTGTGGTGGTGCACACCTGTAACTCCTGCTACCAGGGAGGCTGAGGCTGTTAGATGATTTGAGCTTGAAAGTTCAGGTGTCCCCTTTGAGTCCAGCATCAATCTGGTAAACCCCTCCCAAGATCAGGAGACCACCAAGCTGGATACAGAGGGGTCGAAAGTCACATCTCTGCTGACCGTCAGTAATGAGATCAGGCCTATGAAAGGCCACTGCACTTCAGCCTGGGCAGAATAAGGAGACACAATTCTCACTCTACTTCTCCAGCCAAAAAAAAAGGAAAGAAAGAAAGAGAATGAGGAAACAAAAATAACTCTTCCTCTATCTATATCTTTTACAGGAACTTGATAGCAGATATATTTGGAGAATCTGGTGATGAAGAGGAAGAAGAATTTACTGTAAGTATATATGAAACATTTACTTTTAAAGCACATTGGATTCTTTTTTTAACTCTCAGATCAATTTATCTGGCTCTAATCTCTAAACTCACATCTCCAGCTGCTAATTAGACATCTCAAACTGCTGGATGTTTTGTTGACATCTTAAACTCAGCATATCTAAAACAGAACTCGGTATCTTTGCCCCAAAACCCTCCTGTCTTCTGAACTTCCCTATTGTTGTCTAGGGTACCACTATCCTCTCAGTCATCCAGGTGCACAACCTAGGTGTCATTGACTCTTTGCTCTGTTTCACCCCTCCACATGCAATCTGTTGCCAAGGCCTGTTGATTTTACCTTACCAGCATCTCTTGTATATGGTCGCTTTCCCTCTGACACTGCCTGCCACTACGCTGTTGTAGGCCCTCGTCACTTCACACCAGGAATATTGCCATAACTTATTGGTTGGTTTCTCTGCCTGAAATCTCTTCCCACTACAATCTACCCTCTGTTCAGCTGTCAGAATGATTTTCTTAAAGTGAAGGTCTGACCATGTCACTCTCATATTCATTAAACTCTGCTGGTTCCCTATCATTTCTAATATGAAATCCTTTGTTCGGATTTTAAAACCCTTCACAACCTGGTCTCTTCCTACCTTTCCAGTCTTTTTGCACCTTACGTCCTTCCTGAGCCCCCATAGTACCCTATGATTTAGTGACACCAACCTAGCTTTTCCACCCACAAAACTTTATCTCCAGACATTTTCTGTGACTGTCCTTCAAGATTGGAATATTCTCCCTCCTTATCTCTGTCTCTTGGCTTCCTTCAGGTCCCATCCAAAATCTCATGTTCCATGAGAAAGCCATTCCTTATTCCCCTTAGTTCTAGTACCTTTTCTCTATTGATTATCTCCAATTTATCTTGTGTTTATCTTATTTGTTCATAGATATTTACATGTTATCTCCCCCATTAGACTGTGAGGTCCTTGAGAGCAGGGACTCACTTTTTTCTTTCTTCATAACCCTAATGTTTAGCACATAGGATGTATGTAATTAGTGCTTATGACCAGCTGACAAATTGGGGTAAAGACCAGTAAACCTAATATCAGGTCTTATCAGTTAGGACAGGCATGTGATGTTCACTTTGTTAAAATTCTACTGTCTCGTGTCTCTTATATTGAAGAATATGTGAGAGAGAGAGTGTGTAAAAGTATACAGGAGAATACCCATTCAGGAATCAACAGAGAATAGGATCGCTTTAACTAACCTGCACTGCCTCTGACTTAGGGTTTTAACCAAGAAGATTTGGAAGAAGAGAAAAGTGAAACACAAGTTAAAGAGGCAGCAGATGATTCAGATTCTGACGATAACATAAAAAGAGGAAAACAGTAAGTCCATTTGTGGGCAAAATGTGTTCTATAAAAGATTTTTATAATTGAGAACAAATGTTTATCCACTTTATTTTCCTTCCTGTTTGAGATAATGGTTGTAATATTATTTGATCATAGTTACTTGCGTCAGTATAGTCTTGACATTGTTCACATCCAGAATCTTAGAAACTTGATTCCTAACTGCATTACAAAGGACAAACAAATACCACGTTTTTTTTCTCTTTTATCAGTCTCAACTTAATCTACCCTAAGCTTACCTGTGAAGCCAGGGGGAAAAGTATTAATCTTACTAACAAGATTTTGTAATATGGATTAATACAAACCAACCATTAGACCATTTTCTTTATATTACTTTTGAACTGAAACCGATTTGAATTCATAATAATGATAACTGATAGCATTTATATGGTGCTAGTTATGTGCCAGACATTGTGCTAAGCGCTTGTTATAAAGATTATTTGATCTTCACAGCAACCTTGTGGGGTGGGTACTATTATTATCTTCATTTTATAGATGAGGAAACTGAGGTAAACAGAGGTTAAGGACTTGCCCAGGATCACACAGCTAGTAAGTGTTTGGGGCTAGCTTTGAGCTTAGGTCTTCCTCACTCTAGGCCCAGCACTCTATCCACTGAATCCACTCTATCCACATAGCTGCCTCTAAATATGTGTATATTCTTGGTTGGCTTTGCAATATCATATTGTCCTGTTTTAAATTTTGCTGCAAAATATCATCACTTTATATTTGAATCACACTTTGTTTTTCAAAGCATATTTATCATCTGGGATCTCATTCCATTTTCCCAAGAACCCTATGAAGGAGGTATCAGCCTGGTATACTAATGAAGAAGCTAAAGCACCTAATGGTTAAGTGATCTAATACCACATTGGCCATAAGTTAGTAGAAGAAGTGAGACTTAAATCCAAGACTATAGAGTACATAGTGCAGTGTTCCTAAGCATCTTGGTATAGTAGAACCAGAGTTGGAGTCCAGAGTTTGGAAACTTGCTAACAATTTCACCTTAAACCCTGGACTTTCCTTATTATTTCATCTGTAAAATAGAAATCATATTTATAGTGCCTCCTCCACAGGATTATTTCCTCTATACCATAAGGCCTGTTATAAATGCGTTTGATGAAAAACAGCTCTAAAAGACTTTTAGAACTTCAATCACTGCAATGATAAACCATGAATCTAAAGGCTCAAAGATAAAACGTTCGGCCCACCTCCTGCCAGAGAAGTAATAAGGCTTTAAACGCAGAATGAGACCCATGTTTCTAGATGTGGCTATTTGTTTTGCCAGACTATGTAATATATGTTAAGGGGTTTTCTTTCAGTGTTAGAGAGGGGCAATAGGAGGAAGAGATAATAAATGCTTACCCCAAAAAAATTTTAAGTCATTACAGAAGAGTCAGGAGATTCATAAATGTACATTTCCCTTCAATAAGAGCAACTCTTTTTGAATTTTTTGCAAGCTCAGGGCCTGTCCTATCTTGAGGTTAGTGCCTATATGTAATCAGGATGTTGTTTGTAGTGTAATGCATCTTAAAACAACATTATTTATAAAATTTATAAATTTTATCCAAAGTAATGTAACACCCACAATTTGGTCGCACTTCATCCAAAACCACTATACTAGACTGTAAGTTTCTTGAACACAGGGGTACCCTATCTGGTTTATTTCTGTACACCTAAAGCACCTAGATCAGTTCAATTCAACAAACATTTCTTAAGCATCTAAAGCACCATTCTAGTGTCTTATATACAGTAGGCATGAAATAGTCATTGCCACCCCCCCCAAAAAAAAAACATATTTTGATTGTTTTTAGAAATAGTTTAAAACACATAGATAAAGAATCTTATTATTAAGGAAACACTGTGTACTCCACAATTGGGCATCAGTTTAAGAAATATCTTTATTTTCAGGTGATAAATGATTAAGTGTGAAAGTGTCATTAAAGGGTTTGCAGTTTTTTAAATACCTACAAATCAACAGCATATCCCAGAGTTGAAATTTAAAATGCTTATGTAAGTTTGTAGATATGAAAAAATGGTAGTGGGGAGACCAGGCTTTCCTTGACATCTTCACTATACCTAGTTTTGTCTTCCATGGACTCCAGTATGGACTTCATGTCAGATTTTGAGATGATGCTGCAGCGTAAGAAGAGCATGAGTGGAAAACGCAGGCGAAATCGTGATGGTGGAACTTTTATTAGTGATGCAGATGATGTAGTTAGTGCCATGATCGTTAAGATGAATGAAGCAGCTGAGGTAAGATTTGTCACATTCCAGCGTAGATCTTTTTTCCCCTCTATTTCTAATTGAATTGGTGGCGTTTTGGGGCTGTATGTTAAAGAAGCTGTTGATTCTGCCATTTAACAGCTATTCAGATAGTGTACCCTTTTTTGAGAATTTTGAGAATGCAAATATTTCTAACTTTTCATTTATCTAAAATAAAGTCGTGGGTCATGAACTTTTTCACTAAGTAAATAAAAAATATAAAAATGGTTGTTATGGAAGTGTATTTGTTTTCTTGGCTTTGAGTAGTATACCGAAAAGTATCAAATTTTTCTATATAAGAATCATTTTAATGATCATGGGCATGGAGTCTAGTTTACTTCCCTACATCAGTGGAATACTAACGTGTCCATGTAGATATAGCTGTCTTGTTTTTCCTTTAAAGATCTTCCAAGTAGATCCCACAATTCTTATTTGTCCCCCACATTTCAATATCTTCCAATTCTTAGAGTTACAAAATTTTTCCTAATGTCTAAAACAGATTTCTTTAGCTTTCTGTTAAAGCCTGTTTTGATGTGTGAGCTGTCTGAAAAGTTAATGATTTATTCCACATTTTAGCTAAAGTAATTTCTTCTTTGTTTGGCTCTCACTTTATTATGACTATTTTCATTAAATGGTAATAGTTGTGTGTGTTTGACCCATATTCAGAAAGCTATGAATCAGATAATTTTGGCCTCAATAAAAATAGTTCTTATTTCCCTTGCCATTCTGATCTGTAAGAAGATCAATGAATATATCAAAAGGAACAGTTTTGTATTTTTTATTGTGAAACTTAGATTAGATTAGAAATTCTGTTTTAATTTTTTTAATTACTAATGACTATTTAAAACAGTAACTTATTCTGTCTGCCTCATTTTTATAGGAAGATAGGCAACTGAACAATCAAAAAAAGCCAGCACTGAAGAAACTGACTTTGCTACCTACTGTAGTTATGCACCTTAAAAAGTAAGTATCTTGTTCTTCTATTGTCTTAAAAATAGAAATGTTTTTCTTAGTATAAGGATCATTATATAAAAATTGATTAATGTTTTTCTGCCTTATGAAGATTATGGGTGTGAACCAGCCTAGCTAAATTTTGAGTTGCTCATTACCAGATTAGCTACAAGGTGATGAATTTTTTGACCAAGCAACTTTCATACCAACCTGCTAAGTCATAACGAGGATGCAATCTCTGTTAGTGCAGGGACAAAGTCACAAATCTTAGGAAAGAATCTCAAAGCTTATCTAAATACAAAATTTCATTAAATGCTGTTAGCTGCTCTGAGATTTAATTCTTACAAAACTTAACTGTACCATTCTTCTAGTTATAATTATGTAGTATCTTGAATTATTATTTAAAGTGCTTCATGTATATCTCATCTATTCAAAAAAATTCTTTAAGATTCACAATCATTATTTCTCTTGGAACTTTTCTTTGCAGGCAGGACCTTAAAGAAACTTTTATTGATAGTGGTGTAATGTCTGCCATCAAAGAATGGCTTTCACCTCTACCAGATAGGAGTTTGCCAGCACTGAAGATTCGGGAGGAACTTCTAAAGATCCTACAAGAGGTTGGACCATTATTTCTAGTGACTTGATCTCCAGATATTATCTAGATGTATTCTTTTTACCATTATTTTCCAAACTTTTTTATTTTGTGACATAATTGTATTTCTGTTGAGTAGTAGTTATGAATATAAGATAGTGATGTTGTTAATCACATTACTATATGATAATATTGAAGCCTGGAAAAACATTTTGTATTTTTATTTTAAAAAAAGATTATGCTAACAACCCTGGGCTGATTTGTACAACTGAATTGAAAAGTTGAAATTTTTAAGTACCTTAATAAACTTTACTTTGCCATTCTTAGTTTTCCCTTTATTCTAGAGAAATGCAAGTTTTTTATATCCTTCCCTTCTTTGACATCCAGCATATAAGCTCTCATATTGCCCACAAATGTTCTGTATACTTTGAATATTGTTTTATCCCTGGATTCAGAGATGATAATATTCAGTTACTCCTCATTTCTCTCCCCACCTCCTTAACAACCCTTCCACCTTCTTGGCTCTTGTTTAGAATATCCTAATTGTAGAAGTGGAATTTTGTGCCTATAGACATGAACTGTACCTTTTAGTTCCACCAAATTTATCAGTAGGCTTCTTGTTTCTCTGATTATTTAATGAATGTGCATGTCTGTGATTTCCAGCTACCTAGTGTGAGTCAGGAGACTCTGAAGCACAGTGGTATTGGACGGGCAGTGATGTATCTTTATAAGCATCCCAAGGAGTCCAGACCCAACAAAGACATGGCAGGGAAATTGATCAGTATGTAAATGTTTTCAAAGTAGCACCTTTTCTTCTATATTAGCTTCTGTCTAATATATAGCCATCTGTCTAAAAAAAATGAGGGGGAAATACTGATTGTGTTTCATGCACTGAACCCTTTGTCTCTCTCTCCATTGATTCCTGTTTAATTTCTGTAATATGTTAAATCCAATATTAATTGCCTCATGTTGCAAAAATAGAATTACGATGATAACTGAACAGGGAATATGTAAAAAGTTTCTACCTGTTTTAGTCACCTGATGGGTAACTCTTATGCTTAACAGTTTCTCATCTGAAAAGGTGGAGCTCAGCTTATTCATTATTTCAAAGGTGTATCTAATTTTTTTAGCAATATGATTGTGAATAATTTGAGGCTTTTTAATAGTGAGTTAAGAAAAATAAAATAATTGTTTTTATTTATATGTAAAGGCTTCTTCTTTTTCAACCCATTAAGTTTCCTTAGGCTCTCTCTGTATAATGCCCACACAACTGATTGCAAAGTACAGCATTGAGTCCAATACTTCCTTATTTGGGTGTTTATAAAGACAACTATAGTTGAGTAAAATCTTGGAACCTAGATAGACTCAGGTAGCGTGGTTTGAATTCACTTTCCCACTTTGTTAGCTTCATGACCATGAGCGAGTTGCTTAACTTATTCGAGCCTCAGTTCATCTCTAGGAATTTGTAAAACATGTATTACCTATTTGATATATTTGTGGTGAGGAAAACATTTTGCAAACTTTAAGGTGGTATATGAGTATGAGTTATTTTTAGGCTGATAGTATATCACTGAACTGACAGGAAATTGGGGATTAGGGACAGGGAGTAAATTAATGTAGCCACAGCCTTTTGAGTCTTCAGATTCAGAAAATCATCTCTTGTGCTCAACTGTAAAATAATCCTAAAATCACTTAACTTTCAAAGGTAGGGTGTTGTAAGGGCTTTGAGTATAATCAGTTAGGAAGAGAGAGAAGAGTATTTTTATGATTGTAAGCAGACATGTCCATAACAGCTGGCCCTTTGTTCATATTGTAGATGAGTGGTCTCGACCTATCTTCGGCCTCACCTCCAACTACAAAGGGATGACCAGAGAGGAGAGAGAGCAGAGAGATTTGGAACAAATGCCTCAGCGTAGGCGAATGAACAGGTAAGAGATTTTACCCAGCTCTGATTTCATGCGTTGCAGCCCTTTGTGCTTCTATCTCCATTTCCTTGTTAGTGATTATTCATACGTTAGAAAGTCTGAAAGGTTATCCCAGCATGATTGTCCTCTCCGTTTTATCTACTTAGCCAGTAGAACTGTAATAAAGTAATGCTGTGAAATTTAGTAATAAAGATTTTTTTCACCCAAAGATTCAGCTCAGAAAGCATTTTTTAATACCATAGTATAAATAAAGGATGTTACCTACACTGATAGGTTGGAAAAGCCTAATGTTTCAACTTGATTTTCTTCATTAAAAAAAAGGTGAAACTCTTAACTCTTTGATTTTTGTCTGTATAGTGCTGGTGGTCAGACACCACGAAGAGATCTGGAAAAGGTGTTGACAGGAGAGGAAAAGTAAGCTTTTTCTTTTTTTTTCTACAAAAGATATTCAGTATAACTGAATGTGCCTGCCTGCTGTACTTGAAGGGAAGATACAAAAAAAGTTAAAATAATACTATCACAATGTTTAAGAGTTTTGCTAAAGTTCCTCTTTTTTCCTTTAAGATGTTTTATTGATTTTTTTTGTCTGTTACCTCACTGTCACTTCCCAATTACTCCCCCCCCCCAAAAAAACAACTTCACTTTTCAGTGCTACTATCAACAAGTCACCAAGTATTTGTTAAGCACCCAACTTGTGCTAGGCCCTGTGCCAAGTATTGGAAATACAAAGAAAGACAAAAATCATCCTCACTCTCAGGGAGCTCACAAGCTGATGGGGAAGACAACATGTAAACAGCACTGTACCAAGATAAACTCAGGCTAACTTGGAAGGAATCTCAGAGGGAAGGCACTGACATTGTGAATGGGACCTTTTCCTCCCTCTTTGACCTCCTTGGGTTATATGTCTGCTCATGGTATCAATGGGCCAAAGCTACAGGTAGCTTAGGCACGTTTTCTTAGTATGATTCCAGATTATTGACCAGAATGATTGGACCAATTCACAACTCCACTAACGATGTATTGGTGTGTCTGTGTTCCTGCAGCCCTCCTAATATTTATTGTTTTCATCTTTGTCATCTTTACCATTGTGATGGCAGTGAAGTGAAACCTCAAGAGTTTTTTGTCCACTTAAAATTTATTTTATTTCAAACTTAAAACTGGAAAAAAAAAGAGAGCATCTCCACATACATAGCAGAACACAAAAAGAAATCCCATATGAAACTATTTCATACCACTTGCTTTTTAAAATACATACATACAAACATAAACATATGTATATATGGGTATGTGTATATATGTCTATTTATTACACTTATCACTTTCAAAATTCTCCTGCTTGGCTGTGCTTCCTTCTGAACTTCCTTTTCTTCTATGCATTTTAAACATTTTCAGTGGCTTTTTTTGGCAGTGACAATTGCTAACCCCTCAGTCTTCCCCCTTAATTCCTGTCTCCCCTATTAAAAATGAAGAGAAAGAATTTTTAAAAAAAACAAAACCCATTGTAACAAATAATCATAGTCAAGCAAAGCAAATCCACGCAGTAGTCAGATACAAAATGCATGTCCTTTTTTTCACTTTTAAGTCCATCACCTCACTGTCAGAAGTCCTCTGGAGACATGAGTGGTCATTGCTTTGAACAGAGTTCTTAAATCTTTACAGTGTTCTTGTATAAATTGTTCTGGCTTTGCTCACTTTATTCTGCATCAGTTGACACTTAACTAGATTGTCTAAATTGTCTCTTATTGTTTCTCATTATATAATTATATTCCAACACATTTGCTGCCACAGTTTGTCCAACCATTCCCCACTTGAAGAGCACCTTAGATTTTAGTTCTTTGCTTTTCTTTTCCTTGTAATTCCTCAAAGTAGTCTTAATTTGCATTTCTCCTACCATTAATACTTTGTGATGTTCTGTCATCTGTTTCTTTCAAAAGATATGTTAATGTCATTTCACTATTTAAATATAGAAGAATACCTTTTGTTTTTATATATTTGTATCAATTATCAGACCTTTATCAGAAAAAAATTTGCTGAGATTTTCTCCCAATTCTAGCAGCAGTGCTTTTGTTTTAACAAAACTTTTCAATTTTATCTGATCAAAATAGTCTGTTTTATCTTTTATGATGATGTCTATGTCTTATAGTTGTAACTGGCAAGGTAAGATTCCTCCTTATATTTAGGTTGTCTAAGTTCTTTTGTGCATAGGTTATCTAGGTTATATATTCCATCTGGAACTTATTTTTGGCATATGGCATAAGACGCTGATCTAAACCTAATTCTTTCAAACTGCTTTCTAATAGTCCCAGCTTTTTTTGTCAAAAGGGCTTTCTTGCCCCAATCGTTATTGTCCTTGAGTTTATTGAATACTATTCACATTCAGTTTGATTTGAGTCTTGCTTACCTAATCTTCCATTGATTAACATTTCTATTTTTAATCCTACCTTTTTAGATTATTTCTCTCATGTAAATAAATGTTTTGTGACATTTTATTCCTCTAGATCAGAGGTATCAAAGTCACAGCTCCTGACAATTGTTTAACAAAATAAATAATTCAATACAACATCATTAATGTTAATTTGTGGTTTTCTAAATCAATATGCTGCCCCCAGGGATTCTTTCTCCATTGGAGTTTGATACCACTGAACTAGATTAGTGGCTCTAAACCTTTTTTTGTGTTATAGACTCCTTTGGCAGCCTGGTAAGACTCACAGACTCCTCAGAATAAGAGTAATGTTTGTTTTTTTTTATTTTTGTTGTTTTATAATTTATTGTTCTCCTAGTTTTGCTCACTTTACTTTGCATCAATTCATATAGGTTTTCTCAGGCTTCACTGAATCCTTTCCCTTCCATTTTTATAGCACAATAGTATTTTATCACATTTATATACTGTAATTTGTTCAGCCATTCTCCAGTTAATGGGTACCCCCTCAGTTTCCAGTTTCTTGTCACCACAAAAAGAGCTGCTATAAATATTTTTGTTTGTATAGGTCTTTTTCTTTTTTTAATCTCACTTAGGCCAAGGGTATGCACAATTTAATACCATTTTTGCTACTTAATAGCTTTTTGAGTGTACACAGTTTAATAGCTTTTAGTGTTAATAATACATTTTGTATGCTTCTGCACTACAAACAATGCTAGCTCCTGAAATTTCTGAGCAGAGTTCCGAATTGCTTTCCAGAGTTGCTAAACTAGTTTACAGTTCCATCAGCAGTGCATTAATGTTCCTGTTTTCCCACAAATGCTAGTCCTCTAGCATTTGTCATTTTTCCAAATTAATTTTTATTATTATTTTGTCTGGGTCTATGAAGTGACCCTTTATAAACTCATACATTAATTTAGCTATTATTGCCATTTTTATTATACTGGCAAATCCTAATCATATGCAATGTGTATTTCTCCAATTATTTAATTCTTCCTTTATTTCTGTAAAGGATATTTTGTAGTCATAGTCATGTAAGTCCAGACTGTGCCTTTGTAAAGTGACTCTCAAGTATTTTATGCATTTTGTAGGTGTTTTGAATGGAATTTCTTTTTCTGTCTTTCCTGTTGGGTTTTAAGAATAGACAAAAGGGCTAATACTTTTGTGAGTTAATTTCATATCCTACTACTTTACGAAAGTTACTCATTGTTTCAATTTTTTTTCATTGAATTTCTAGGCTCTTCCTAAACTAAACCATCATACCCATCATCTGTAAATAAAGACAATTTTGCCTCCTCTTTGCATATGCTTAGTTCCTTAATTTCTTTTTCTTGTGTTATTCCATAACTAGCATTTCTAGCTCTATATCAGTGAGTTTTAAATATCATTTGTTATATGTGTATGTATGTATGAATAGATGGATGTATTACTATTGCTTTACAACCTTGATCTTTTTCTTCTTTTTTTCTTTTTTTTTAAATTAAAAACTCAGCTTGTCTTTCTTCGACACGGTACACAGTTAGCAAAGTATTTCATATCTATTCTTTTGCTTCTGTTTCCTTGAAATGTTCTTTCCTTTGGCTAAAAAGATAACTTAAAGGCCTAATCATATTGGGAAGATTTTTTTGTATTTCTATACTACAAATAAAGCTAACTCTTAAAGTTTACTTTTCTAAGACTTAGCCTTTAAAAAAAAAACACTTTCCTTTTCCCTATCCCAGAGCTCTTAGACCTGGAGACCCTGGCTTCTGTGCTCGTGCCAGAGTACCAATGCCCTCCAACAAGGACTATGTTGTCAGACCCAAGTGGAATGTGGAAGTGGAATCATCAAGGGTGAGTGACCACACAAAGGGAAAACAGATATCTCTTTTATTGCCCCATCTCACCTACCTGTCATCTATATGTGGTTGAGAGAGGCCTAGTGTTTTTTTATGCAGACAAACCAAGTACCCAAAAGCAATACAGAGATTGTCGAGAACATGAACATGATCGTTTGTGAAGATGAATATGGTTCTGGTTTCAAACAGCAGTCTTTTCAGTGAGAAATCTTTTATTGTAATCCTTCTTGCCCTGCATAAGCCTAGTGTCCTAGGATATCTGAGCAATTAATCCTGGAACTGAATGAAACTACTTTCATGTGATGTTTACCAGTTTCCTTAAATCTATTAGGCGAAATTAAGGGTTGAAATTGTGTGATCTGAATCTTTAAATTGAAAATAGAATGTTAGACAAAATTAGCCAAATGATCCTTTATATTTTTAGTTAATTTTGGTTATATCCATTAATTGAAAATACTGTTTCTAGCCTGGTATTCTTAGAAAAGGTTTAAGCCGCTTGGAGAAACACAAGAGGCGATTTGCAGAGCAGAAACGACTCAGCAAAATGCATCGGGCTGTCAAGTTCAGCATTGAAGGCAACAGGATGCCCTTGTAAACCTGAGTTTATCAGAGAGGTATCTCTGAGGAAGTGTGAACCCTTGCATGTGCTTTAGCTAATAGCATTTATGGAGTGAAGAAAGTGTGCATTCATTATCTTAACCAGGAATGCCAAACTTTGTCATTTGCAATTATGACCCTAACCCTTATGACCTTATATTTCATGAAATTCAAGTATCCTTGAATTTGTCATTATAGACTACAGATTGCAAGTGCCTTTTAGAATGATTTTGTTCAAATCATGCTTTTAATAAGACAATCTTTTCGAGGCTCTGAGTGGTAACAAGGGAGGTAACACATTCAAAATCATAGGTTCAGAAACTGCTTTTAAAAAACTTTTGTCATTTATGTCTTATTGAGATGGACATGCAATCCTTTTTGTAGACATAATAAAGGCATACTAGATGGGTCCCAAAACCCTTTTACCCCCTTACTTCTCTCTCCCTTTCTCTGCCTCCCTTTCTTTGCATCTTTTCATTTCTCCTTCTTCCCTGCAGTTTCTCACCTCTCCTTTACCCCAATTTCTTTCTGCCTCCCTCATCCCTTTTGTCTTTCCTCTTCTCAAAATCCAAAATCTCTTCTTTCTACTTCTGAATCTTCTCTTCCCTTCTATTATTAACTCTCCTCTCAGTTGCTGCCATCTAGTGTCAAATTTGAGAACTGTATCTTGCCTGAAGAGGAAGGCATCAATTTTCTTCACTCAATATACATGAAGTACCTTCTGTGTTGTGTCAAGATTCATTAAGATGCTATCTGTGTGTGTATTTCAATTTCATTGGATTAAGATGAATTGCTACATAGCCTATGCCTTCAAAGAACTTAAAGTATTGGAGGGATCGTAGAACTTTAGAGCTGTACCCCAGAGACCATCTTAGGTTACTTTTTCTGTGTCATAGATCTCCTTTGTTAGTCTCGTGAAAACTATGACCCCTTCACAGGATGATGTTTTTAAATGTATCAAATAGGTAAATTGACAAAGAAAACCAGTTCTTTTATTTGAAATACAATTATCAAAATAATTTTTAAAAAGCAAATTCATAGACCTCAGGTTACTAGTCTAACTCCCTAAATTTACAGATGAGTTCAGAGAAGTTATGAGACTTGCTAAAAGTCTCATGCTGGTTAGTCCTGGAGGGCAAAAGATATATGGGCAGGCATACAGTATCTTCTTGATTTAGAAATTATATTTCTTCCTCTAGGTGTCCTGGGGCAGCAATTATGCTTGATGGTAAGCCTGCTCTTAGGAGCCAGCTGTACTTTCAGAGATTAACAGTGCAATATAGGAGTATCCTTTTTCAACCTCCTACAGGGAGGTGGAAAGCCACAGGGAGCCTAGGATAATAAATTTTTTTTATAAAGGACAGATTTTTTTGTAAGGGAAAATAATGACCATTTTCTGGGATTCCAGAATACTTAGGAGTTACACATGATGATTTTAGGTTATAAAAGAACAATAGTAGAGCTATTAAATACAAAGGATAACTAGGGATAGATAATAAAGTTAAAATGTCACAATTTGTAGCGGTAAATCTGGATTTGTCCGTTTTATTTCAGACTATTTTTACGACTCTTAAGTCCCTTCAATTAGGAAATTTCTTTTTACGCCTTTTCTTTGTAAATATTCTTGCATACAAAACAAATTAGAGTTTGTTATTACTCATTTCCTACTGTTTAGATTCTGTCAACTTGTCGTTGATATTTTCCTCTCCCACTAGGTATAACATGTCCCCATTGTCTTGTAAGATTTATCTCCTTTATGTGTTCTGTGGGATTGAGGGTTTTTAAGTGTTTTTACTATGTAGCCTAATTTTAATCAAATAGAATAGGGAAAGGTTGCTCTTTTTTTTCCTTTTCACCTGTGAGGTGGTCACCTTAGGGAATTTTCCATGTACTAAGTAACAATCAATAAGCACTGGCACTAAACATTCCTTTAGCTCTAATGCAGTATCATAAATACGTGAATTGTTACTGCCTGCTGTGCACATTTGTCATGCTAGTCCTTAGCCCACCAAAGCATCTTGTTGGAATTAAACATCTGCCTTATTTGACTGCTGTATTTCCATTGCTGGAAGACAAAGCTGTGTGTGTTCAATTTCTGCTATTTTCTTAACTTTTTTTTAATCTATTAGTTTCAGGGGACTTCTAAGAAAGGAATCAGTCGATTGGATAAACAGATGCGGAAATTCACAGATATACGGAAAAAAAGCAGATCTGCTCATGCAGTGAAAATCAGCATTGAAGGCAATAAAATGCCTTTGTGACCTTGCTGATGTTCTGTCATCTCTACTGTAAGAAATGCACCATTGGACTCTTGGGAAAGGATGACATTTTAAATTTTTTTAGTGTATCTGTAAATTGTTGGTTCAACTTCTGTATCATGTCCTTGGACTGAGACTCCAAAGGCTTCTCTCCCAATTGTATTTAAACTGTTCTGTTGTGTACTTTGTACAGATGATATTCGTTGTACTGCTTCAGACTTTAGACAATAAATACCCATCTTGTTTTGGGAAGCTGTCTCTTCATTGTTTCAAAAGAAATGTTTATATGATAGAATTCCATATTGCTGGTTTTATTAGTTAGAGAAGTTAGAAGAACTATATCTATTATGGAAGATTTTCTAAAATCCTTCTATTTCTTCTATACTCTTTAGATTGCCAAGTTGCCTAATCCATTTGATTTAATGTAAGATTCTGTGTCTAGGGATTTTTTTAGTAGCCTACAGTGCTAAGTCCCAGAAAGATAAACCTGTATAGCAGCAATTCATTCTCCAATTTATGGAAATAGGGCTATAATAGTTAACTAGAGAGGCAACAACCTCAGTTATCCAGAGCACAGCCAAGAGATTTGGATATAGACTGTCCTCCTCCTGTTCCCCAGACTACACCTATCAGAACAAAAGAGATATCACAGATTCACTGAAAGCTCATATGCATTTTTCTCATAGGGAAGTCCCCTGGGCCCTAACTCACACAAGGCCTGATTATTCTTATAGACATTCTAACAAACCTAATTATCTGGTTTCATAAGACATAGCAGAGTGACAGCAACAAAGTGAGAAGGGAATTCTGCTAAGGTGGGTGTGCTCACAGCAGAGGAAGAAGACTTCTTTAATACTTCACTGGATCTGTTATCTCATTGATTTGGGACCCCACCCTACAACAGCGCAATTTGAAATCCCTTATAGCTGCTCATCCTCTGTGAGCAATTCTTGTCTTTGTCCTTCCATGATTTCCCCAGAAAGGATTTACCCAGTATACCTGAGAGGTCTTCCTCCAGGTTTGGTTTTGTTTTGTTTTTTTTTTAATATTGTGTGGATACCAGTGCAGCCCCAAGGTTGACTCTTGCAACAAGACAGAAACAAATTTTGACCCATTTTAGCATAGGGACAAAAAGACTTTGCATACCACTGACCTTTGGAGTTGATCAGTGCAGTACATAATACAGGACAAGAATTGATGTCCCTCATGATAACCTAAAATTATTAAGGAAAAGAGATTCCATTTCAAGAGATAAATAAGTATGCAAATTTTGAAAATATTTCCATCAAAAAATGGTCACATTTTTGAAAAAAAATCTTAGAAAACTGATAAGTAATGAAATATTTCCTGACAGTATTGGATATATGCAGTGTACCTCCCAGAAAATAATAAAGATTAAAACTCTTTCACCAAGTTCAAACACTGCTAGTCTTTGAATAAGAGATCTAGGGAACATGGTTCAGGTTTGAATTTATTAGTATTTCTGTTTCTGGCAGTGGGATTGAGGAAATTTTTAAAGGAGACTTACCTTCCATGCTTGTGGGAGAGTGGCTCCCACTGTTTCCTGGTCTATGTTAGTCATTGCTTCATTCCTGGCCTGTCATCTCTTTCCACACCAGCAAAAAGTGTCATCCTAATCATGTTGCCACCTCTGAATCCTCTTGTTTTCCTACAATGGCAGCAGGCTCTCCTGAACACCCTTTCTTGTGGACAGCCAAGTAAAAGTAGGGCATGCCCCAAACAACTGTGGTGCTATGGAGGTAATGTGTGGGGAATCTGGTCTTTATGAGCATGTAGGTATCAGCAAGTCAGCAAGTATTTATTAAGTGCTTACTATGTACCACGCATTTTGCTAAATATTGAGCATGCAAAGAAAAGTATAAATAGTCCTTATCCTCAAGGAACTCATAATCTAACAGATGAAACATCATGAAAACAATTATATACAAATAAGCATATACAGACTGAATTGGAGATACTCTTAGAGAAAAGACACTAATATTAACGGGCACCAGAAAAGACTTTTTGAAATAGGTGGGATTTTGGTTGATACCTAAAATCTGGGAAGCAGAGATGAAGAGAGAAATTTCTAGGCATGGAAGACAGTCAGTGAAAATGCATCCAGGAGATGGAGTGCCGTATGAAGGAATAGCAAGGAAACCAGTATTGCTGTATCACAGAGTACATGGAAAAGTAGGAAGGGTCCTGGTTATAAAGGGCTTTGAAAACCAAAAAGGATTTTATATTTGATTTCAAGCTAACACTGGAATTTATTGAAGAGAAGTAACAAGGTTAGATGTGCTTTGGGAAGGTCAATTTTGACAGCTGATTGGAGGATGGACTGGAGGAGGATAGACGAGGCAGGGAGACTAACCAGAAGATTAGGTGATGAGGCCTGTGTAGACCAGATACATTTTGCTTATGTGAAAAAAAAGTGGTGTATTAGGAGTCCTGAGAGATAGCTGGCACAAACCCTTCAAAATGGAGTAATAGGCTAGAATTAGTACAATAGAAATGCGGGTGGCAAAAAACTTGAATCAAGATTCAAGTGTCTTGGATCAACCTTGTTCTTTTTCTCAAGGTATTAACGCACACTATAGCCTGAAACAGATGTATCCATCAGAAGTCTTAACTGGCATTCAAATTCTTAAAAGTTCTCAGGGAGAAAAGGGGTAGGGCATATCCCACTCTTTCAAAAATTCTTCCTTTGGTTCTGCATTTTGTTTCACTTTCAGCATAATAGGTTTTGTAAAAAGAGTCACCATAGGATTCCTTTTAATACCAAGCTCCTGTAGAGCATTTAAAATAGGATCTGATATACAAAATCTTAATTTGCACAGCGTTTTTTAAGCAATTTACTGTCCTATAAACCAAGGTACAGCTTTAGTCACTCAAATTAATAGGTCAGGACCAGGGAGTTTGGGTTTTCAGGTCCCCAGAAGCTAGCTGGGAGAGTTTATTTCATGGAGGGCCAGGCAGGAGGATTTTATTTATTCATTCATTCATTTATTGCAATGGGCCTGGAGAAATGTTATTGCTAATGTATGATTGCTATACTGAGTGGTGTTCAGGTCTCAACTCAGGTGCCAACTCATACTCAAATCTTTTCTTAACCCTAGCACCTCAGATTCTAGTGTTCTCTCTTTCCTTAAATTACTGCTCTCTCTCTCTCTCTCTCTCTCTCTCTCTCTCTCTCTCTCTCTCTCTGTCTTTTTCTTCCCCTCCCTCTCCCTGTATATATTTTTCTCTACATTTTTCGCCGGCTGCCTGAAATTCTTTGCTGGCCCACAGGTTATGTAGGCCTTGGTTAACAGATAGATCACCTAAAAGGATATGGAGAATTGAGACCAGGCCAGGAAAAAATTCTATAGCTGTATGTTTTTCAAGGGTAATCTGGGAAATGGCCTACCTAATTTTATTGTAATCAGTAAATGTGGTGGTGGGAAACAATATTGCTACAAAAATCAACTGATTCTTTTTTGGCTTGAGGGGAGGGACAGGTGAAATAATATGGTTTTGTTTTTTTTTTAACTTGAAACATCAGCAAACTTTTAAATTTGCTTTTCAGTTATTTACATTTGAACACATGAATTTTATCATATAAAGTATCCTTAACAACGTCAATTACTGCAAGCCACCTTCACCTTTCCTTGTCCAATCATCCCTGTACATTTTTTAAACACAGTTACACTGTGTATTCTCTTCTGGTTTTGTTTTCTTTGCTTCATATTATTTCATAAAGATCTTTTTAGAGAGCAGCTAGGTGGTGCAGTGGATAGAGCACCAGCCCTGCAGTTAGGAGGACCCGAATTCAAATTTGACCCTAGACACATAACACTAGCTGTGTGACTCTGGGCAAGTCACTTAACCACAATTGCCTCACCAAAAAAACAAAAACAACTTTCTAAAATTGCTTTATAGTATTCTGTTACTCTAGTATACCACAATTTACTGAGCCAGGACTCATTTGTTGGACATTTTGATTTCCAGGCTTTTGCAACTACAAATAAGGTGACAATATATTTGAACAACTCTTTTTAAATTTTTTGATAAAAAATTAGGCATAGTCCTAATAATAGGAGCTTTGAGTCAAAAAGTATGATTACATTTGTAGGTTTTATAGTGTAATACCAAATTGTTCTCCAAAGAGTCCATCAATTTGCCGTTCAGTGAAATTTTTATAAATAGAGTATATGTTGTTTTTTTCCCTGGCCTTTTCTAATTTCTGGGCGACTTTTAAAAAGGGCACAACTATATAAATCAACAAGGATTTGTTAGGTACCTACTATGTGCCAGGCACCATGTTAGGTACGGGGGATACAAATACAATGAATGAAACAATTCCTAGTCAAAGGAGCTTATATTCTAATGCAGGAGACAGTAAGGACAAGTAAAAGTACATGCAAAATAAATATAAAAAGAATGCTTTCATTGTCCATCCCCCATGCCTAGAATGTTTCCCTCCTCATCTCTGCCTCCCTGGCTTCCTTCCAAGTCCCTGCTAAAATCTCAGCTTCTATGAGAAGCCTTTTCTGATCCTCCTTAATGTTAATGCTTTTCTTCTCTTGATTATCTCCAATCCTTGCATATATTCTGTTCATATGTAGTTGTTTGAATATTCTCTCACCATTAGATTGTGATTTCTTTGAGGACAGGAACTGACTTTTGCTTTTCTTCGTATCCCCATCACTTAGCACAGTGCCTGGCAAATAGTAGGTGCTTCATAAATGCTTATTAACTGACTGACATTGACAGAATAAGAATACAGTGAGTGTTTGTAATTCAGCTTTACAAGAGTAGTTAGGACTTAGAGGATGTAGGTGGGTATAGAAGAGTTTGCTTGTCTCTGATTTGAACTTGGAATCTCTAATGTTGCTTTTGGAATATATTTCTATCCCCATGTAGACAGTTACATCTCATATTTCCTTGTCATATAATGACTACATATACTTGTATTCTCAGGTTTGGTCGTGTCTATCATGTCTCAGAGAGATCACTGGGTGAACTCGCATGGATGTAAGTAGCAGCCCTGGTCCTCCAAATAAGAGAGTTGATAACACTGACATCTTTCTAATTTTAGTTTCTTTTATTCTGAATTTAACAAACAACAACAACAAAGAGAGTCTCTGAATACAAAGTAGCACAGTAAAAGAAGATTCTTTGTGAAACTGCTAATTTCAAATTATATATAGCACATACACATACACAGTGTATATACACATTTGTATTTGTATACATTTGGGGTAGGGGAGGCAACAGGGGTTAAGTGACTTGCCCAGGGTCATGCAGCTAGTAAGTGTCTGAAGTCAAATTTGAATTCAGGTCCTCCTGACTCTAGGGCCAGTACTCTATCCACTGTACCACCTAACTGAACCTATATGTATATATTTTGGATATATATGTATACATGCATATGTGTATACATATGTGTATATATACTGTGTATATCATGTGCATACATATGTGTTATATTTATATGCATTGTGTCCATGTATATTCATACATATGTATTTTGTGTGTGCATGTGTATACATGTACTTGAATGTGTATGTGTATGTGTATTGTGTGTATGCATATCTTTATATATACGTGTGTATATATACATACACACACGGGAAGAGGAGGGAGGCATTATTTTCAAAGCTGTCCTGCTTACCTGAACACTGGTATTTTACACAGATTTAAGATGTGGAAACCAAGAAAATCTTCTAGATATTCGAGTGCAACTCAGCTCAATTCTCTCTAATCCCTGGCAGATCCACTGCTCCATAAGGGAGCTCAGAGGCACCTTCCTGTTCCTTGGCTTTCTTCCTTTAAGAAGAATGGATAAGACAGTTTGTGAAGGTGAGACCTAGTTCCCTCCAGGTTTGTTTGTTTGTTTTACTTCAGCTCATTCTGGATTATGAATTAAGTTGTTTCCAGATAATGGCCTATAGTAACATTTTAAATAAATCTATTATCAAATTATAATAGATACCTTTATAGGTTATTTTTATTTACTAAAAAACAACACTGGGGAGGGTGAAGTTTCACTTGGCATTAGGCGTCCTCAGACTTCCACACTAAGTCAGCAGGTTTGGGAACCTTCCTTCCCACCATGAATTGAAAGGTATACTTTGGTCAGATCATTTTTCATTTTGAAGCGGGAGTTACATCACTGGCCTTGGTCACAGCTTCAATGGTCTCTTTGATCCATGAAACATAATTGGAAACTCGAGTGTAGACGCCATACTTGCCTTCTTCAGCACAGCCTTCTCCCCAGCTGATAACACCCAGCAGGTACCAGGTGTCCCGGTAGAACACAGCCAGGGGCCCACCGCTATCTCCCTTACAAGAGTCCTTCGCCTCCATACCATAACCCGCACAGAACATGTTGTCTGTGACTATCTTGTTTGTTGATTTCTGGCAGGTTTCCATGCTGATCACTTGTAAATCCACACGCATGAGGAAACGGGAGGAAGGACCTAGGTAGTATGTGGATCCCCACCCACTCACCATTCCTATTTTCCCTTCTTTAGTTAGCAGTGTTCCCAGGTTATGATTGGGAAGGCAAATAGGAAGAATGTATTTGTTAAAAACCACATCTCTGCTCAGGTAGAGAAGGGCTATGTCATTGTCATAGTTCTCAAAGACATAGTAAGGGTGCGTATGAATTTCCTTCACAGGAATCTTCTCTTCACTTGGCTCTCTTAAAAACTTGTCATGATCACCTACAGTGGTATAAATATAATAATAATAATAATAATAATAACTAACATTGATATGGTGCTTACCATGTGCCAGGCACTGTGCTAAGTGCTTTACAATTATTATCCCATTTGATCCTCACAACAACCCTGGGAGGCAGGTGCCATTATTTTCCCTGTTTTACAGATGGCAGAGGCTAAGTGACTTGCCCAGGGTCACACAGCTAATAAGTGTCTGAGGCTGGATTTGAACTTAGATCTTTCCGACTCCCCTCCCAGCACTATCCACTGTGTCACCTAGCAGCCTCAAAAATAAAAGATGACTATGATGTCTTCAGACATGGAAAACATGGAAATAATAGGTGCCATGTTTTGCTCTTCTCTAAGTTCCTCTTTACATGATAGTTTGAGATTTCCCAAATAGCATTTAATTATTCAAGGTTATACTACAGTAAAATTCTAGACTTAGAGTCAGGCTACCTTGGGTTCACGTCTCATCTCAGCACTTACTGGATGAGCATGGGCTAATCACTTAATGTCTGGGGGCCTTAGTTTTGTCACCTATAAAATTCTAATAGTGCTTCCTTCACAGGGTTGTTGGAATTAAATGAGATGATGCATGTAAAGCCCTTTGTGAACCTTTAAGCTGTATCATGGTTGTTAACAAATCATACAAGTAATGATAGTTATTCCACGGACTTAGGGGGAAGTTCTTTTTGGAAATGGCCTTTATCGGCAGCATCACATCCTTTTGAATATCCTCAGTGGTGAGAAACCATATGGTATAGTGGATAGAGATTGGAGTCAGGAAGACTTGAGCTTAAATGCTACCCCTAATGGAATTAAGCAGCTAGTTTGCACAGTGGATAGAGTACTGTGCCTGGAGTCAGGAATGCCTGAGTTCAAATACATCCTCAATCACTTACTAGCTGTGTGACCCAGGGCAAGTCACTTAACCCTGTTTGCCTCAGTTTCCTTATCTGTAAAATGAGCTGGAGAAGGAAATGACAAACCACTCTAGTATCTTTGCCAAGAAAACTGGAGTCATGAAGAATAAACAGACTGAAACGACTGGACAACAACAACAATAGAATGGCTTTGTGATCCTGAAAAAGTCACTTAAATTCTCATTCCCACCAGACAATTTTCCAAAACTTGCAGAGAGGGTGCCTATTTTCATGGGGAAAGGGAGTTTCCATGAAGAAAAAGTTAATGGTAACAAATGTCTATTCTTTGAGGATATGAAAACAATCAAAAATGATTCAGAGGCATATGCTAAGTAGTAAGAACAGTAATTGCAATGATAATACAATCAATGTATCATTTATTAATCACTTACTACGTGCCAGGCACTGGCAACTTATGTTTTAACATTTACAAAACCCTTTTTCTCACAATTCCTCCTGTGTGGTAGTTAATACAAGCAGGATGATCAAACTAGATAGTTCCTGTTTCATCAAGTTAAAGCTGGAAGGGATCTCAAGGGTCATCTATTCTAACCCTTTTCATTTGACAGATAAGAAAACTGAGACTCTGCATAGTTGAGTAATTTACCCAAGGGTTATTACACAATGGCAAAGTCAAGTCTCAAACCCGGTTTTTCTGAGTCCAAATCCAGTGCCCTGGCCACTGCACCAAATTCTACACGAGTCCAGAACAAGATGTCACTATAAAATGGGGCCATCTATTTCCTTTTGTGGCTTAAAAACTGTTCCTGAAGGCATTTCCAAGGAGAAATTCCCTCAGAGTTTTGAATCGATGGCAACATTGACTGGCAGAACTGTGCCATCTCTCACAGTGAAGAGGAGCAGTCATTTGGGTATGTAAGTGCTGGTGGTTTTGTCAAAAAGGCAGAGACAACCTGCCTGTTATTGACTTCTTTGACTATTGGTACAATTTCTTTTGAATCTCTACAGCAATAACATAGAACTGGGCCCCCATTGTGTGCACTCCAAATATTCTTGGCCATTTCATGATCTAAAAAGACAGTGAAAGTGTAGCTTTCCCCCTTTAGATGATGGTTATTAGACCCCCAAGTCAATAAAGTAGAGTTGGCCCTTTTAAGGAGTTATAGAGAGCTTAGGGAGACTAATTAAGTGAGGTCTTAGGATTTAGAGCTGGAAGGGACTTTAGAAATCACAGGAGACTTGACTTAGAAACAGAAGGAACTTTAGAAGCCATGTAGTTCAGCCTCCTCATTTTATAGCCAAGGAAACTGAAAATCCAAAAGAAATGTGTCATACCCAAAGTCAACTAGGTAGTAAATAAGAGATATGGGATTTAAACCTAGGAATTCCAACTCCAAATCCCATGTGCTTATCATTGTACCACGCTGCCCCTTCCAATTATATTATAATGAACCAGAGGGAGCTTCCAAATGAACAAAAATCCTGCAGAAATGAAATTCCAGGGAAGTTGCCTATTAGACTTGAGGTCATGCAAGAAGTGGATAAATGTAAATATAGTTCCATAGGGCTTCCCTTAGTCCAGCCACTAACACTAGGATAAAATGACCATATAGCTTCAGGGAACCATCTGATCCTGAGGTTAATGGACCTTTAAAATTAAGGATTCCTCCCACTGCCACCCAGGAATAAGTGTATGAGGAATAAACGACAGAACAGAGTACTTCCAGTGAAAGATGAGCTTAAATGGAGAATAAAGGAATTGTAATTACTCCAAAATTTAGGTATTGATGGTACAATAGTCCACATTATTTTCTCATTTTATGTGGACTTTTTCTTTTCTATAAGAGAGTAAGTTCACTGGGGCCTTTGTTAGGAAAGTTTCTTGCACATAGTAGGTACTAAGTACATGATTTACTGATGATTGACAACTTCTGACTTCCCTTGAATGAAAACTAAGGGTGTGGGATTTAGCTCAGAGGCATGAGCTTCAGGGCACCTTTGGGAATGGGACTTACCTAGAGTCACATAGTGTGGCTTCATGCTCTCCAAGCAGTGTGCAGCGGTGACCACCCAGCGACTGTTGAGTAAGCTTCCACCACAGAAGTCATAATTTTTTTCATTCCAGATCAAGACCTTAGGGGAGGGAAATGAAGAACCCCGAAGTCACCTTCTCCCTAAGTCACCTTTATATGGTACCCTGCACACACCGTTTCTGTTATCACTGGATACCCTTGTTTATTCATTCATTAATGATAACAATAATTCACTGTGTAGCATGTGCTGTGAGCAACACCAAGACTGAACAAAACGTGGAAATGCATAGCCAACACAGAGCCCAGCAATTCCAGATTTCCTATGTGTACAGTAGCTTTAACCAAATGAAAGAATACAAGTCTTTTTTCATGACCTTGCACAGTAAACAGGCCAATATGATTCTTGTCGTAAGATCTCCATTGGCTCTCTGTACCACCAGAGCCACAGGCAGATTTTTAGCAAAGTCCCCTGGGACTTTTGGCAAAGAGCTAGTAGACAGTAGTTGCACAGTGAAGCATACATTTTCATATGCGACCAATGTGTTGGTTTTATTTTTTTTTGGCTTGACAGTACTTGTTACAAAGGAGGGTTCTGTTAGAGGTAGGGGACATCACTAGGAAGTGAGTATTGTTGTTGTTGTTTTAAAATACATTAAAAAACATTTCAACAGAAAAAAATTTTTTATGAAGAGAGGAAAATCTCCTGGGCTATGGTAGGAATATGTAGGCAAATCACGCTCTTGCTCCCATACAGACCTCTCACAGCTATAAGCCCCAGGAAATGGACCAATTATAGAAGCAGCAGATTAAAATCCTGTGGACTTTTAAGAATGGGAGCTTTGTCAATTTCCCCTATTTTTCCAAATGTTTTTCTAATTCTTCCACTGGAGGAAGATGGAAGAAGGAAAGACGGAGACCTACAAAGAGAAACGTTACCTGCCATGGACACTTTCCCAGGTGACAGAAAGATCCTCCAATGATCTTGGTTCTGTCCTCTACAATGGGAGGAACATGAGTCAGGGCCTGCTGCAATTTAGACCTTGCCTGCTTTTCCAACCCTGTCTTCTATCATTTCTCAAAAGGTACCCTCTGTTCTGACCAGGTTAGTATTCTCATGAGCCCTACACACTGTTCCCTGTATAGCATATCCACCATTTTGCCTCCTATCTTATCAAAGTCAAATCCTACTCATCCTTCCGAGGTCCAGCTCCATTTCCTACCACCCCCAATAAGCCTTCTCTGAGTCACACTGAATGGTTTCTCTCTCTCTGTCTGTCTCTTTCTCACTGTACCATACAACTGCTCCCTCCCTTTTCTGAACTCTTCTATCACCTTATAATAGGACAAAGGATTGGTCATAGATTTGGAGTTGGAAGGGACCTTAGAATCCTAGATCCTCCATTTACAGATGAAAACACTGAGGCTCAGAGAGGTTAGATCACTTGCCTATGGTCATATAGCTATTAAATGTCAAAAGTGAGATTGGAACCCAGCGCTTCCCAGCTCCAAGTTCATCACTGCAAATCCATGCCAGGCATCACTCATTTGACAATCAACAATAAATATCTGTTGGGTTTCTACTATACATTTTACCCCTCTAGTTCTACATGTATGCGCCCATGATGTAAGACAGTATATAAATATATTTTATATATTTCTTCATGATATGTATTACATCATTATAGATTAATATACATATGTTATATATATATATATATATATGAAGCACTAAATTCGGGGCATGAATGACATAAGGTGTTTCAAAAGTCTTAATACAGTTTTAAGCTATTAAAAACTATTAAAGCTTACAGCTGCACTAAGACTTTTTTGAACCCCCTGTATAACATAGTAAGAGTTTGTCATTGTGGGATTCAGTGTTCAGTGAAGGATTTATGGAAGAGGTGAGAATCATGGCTTTCTTGTATTATAACAACTTTTCCTGTGGTCGTCATCTCCCCAACTAGATTCTAAGCTCCCTAAGATTATGTCATCATCTCTTGTCATACACAGGACTAGGCACACAGCAGATGTTCTACAAATATTCCATAAATGAATTGAATTAGTCAGATCTGTTACCTTTCATTCTGTAATCAGTTAAATTTCTCCAACTTTAACTTTGTGGAAGCCCTCTTTTCGTGGTCCTCACCTGTCTCATTGCTCCAAGAAATCCCTTCTTCAGTTGCATTCCAGGACATGTTCCCATATGTCATATTGTCCTGGGAGATTTCTTCCTGAAGATCCCTGGTGTTGGCCACTTTGATGAGCCCACAAGGAAACAAGGCTGAAAGAAGAGATGGTCTTTGTCTTTGTATCAACTAGCTCTTAAATCCACATTCCAAATTATTGAGGAATCTACATTCCAAATCATTGGGAAATGGCCATTAGTCTATTTTTGGGTTCTTCATAACTGTTAAATAGCATGTTATCTAAAGCCCACATGCCCATAGTGCTATGGTTCTGGCAATTAGTTCTTCATTTATAGAACACAACACAACAACAAAAGGAATAACTTTTTTTTCTTTTTTAGGTCAACTGATTCATTTGATGAGGCAGCTAGAGGGTACAGTGAATAGACTTGAAGTCAGGAAAACCCAGGATCAAATTCTACCTCCAGATATTTAATAACTGTATGACCCTGGGAAAATCACTTAAACTCAGTCTACCTCAGTTTCCTCACTGTAAAATAGGGATAATAATAGTACTACCTCAAAGAGTTGTTGTGAGGGTAAAATGAGATAACATTTGCAAAGTGTTTTGTGAACCTTAAAACTATAAACACTGACATTATTATCATCCTTATTATGATTATAGGTAATCCTAGGGGCAAAGCACACAAGGCCAAATGTTGGGAGATTTGGGGTCTAATCCGGACTATGTCACTAACTAGCTGACTCAGCTTAGAATTATAAGATTTTAAGCTGGAAGAAATCTTAAAGAGTATCTAGGGGCAGCTAGGTGGCACAGCCCTGGAGTTAGGAGGACCTGAGTTCAAATTCAGTCTCAGATCAGACACTTGACACGTACTAGCTGTGTGACCCTGGGCAAGTCACTTAACCCCAATTGCCTCGCCAAAAAAAAAAAAAGAATATCTAGTCTAAACTCTTCATTAAAAAGGAGAAAATTAAGGTCTAGGGGCATTAAATGACTCACCCAGGGCCATACAAGCAGTAAATAGCAGAGCAGGGATTTGAACAAAGGTTTTCTGACACCCAATATAATACTTGCCTCATCTGTGTCTCTAATACAAGCCTCATCCTCAATTTCCCCATCTGTTTTATATAACTGCATGGATAATGCATCTTCTAATTATTACTCATGTTTATATATTGCCTTAAGATTTACAAATGCACTTTCCTCACAAGAACCATGTGACATATTGTTTTCCCCATTTTACTGAACCTCAGGGAGGTTGTAACTTGCCCAGTGTCACAGAGTTGGAATTTGAACCCAGGTCTAATTCCAAGTTTTCTTTCCAATACACCACACTGCCTCAAATATTTATTGAATGCCCACTGGGTTTTTGGCGCTGTGCTAGGATGAAATGGGGGGAGAGGAAGTGTTTTAAGCATCATACATGTAAAGAGGATGATAATTACTGTTTTTCTAGGTAGCTTCCTAATATCACTGCCAGGAAATAAACATCTCCATGTATAAGCAACACAGATAGAGACTATAGGACTTTGTAAAGTGCATGGGGGTTTTTTTTGGTTTGTTTTTGGGTGTTGTTGTTTGTCCTTTGTTTTTGAAGAGGACCAATGACATCATGGGGTGATATCTTGACTCGTGCACGAATTGGATTGAAGTAAGGCAGAGTTGTACAGAATTATCAGCCTCACTCTCTTCCATAGTCGTTGAAGTCCAGTGGCAGGACAAAAGTCAGGACAACTGGCAATGGCTCAGGATGCAGTGGATGACCTTGGTGTCTTTGATCTCTGGTCAAGCTCTAAGCGCTCCATAGCACCTGCTTCAGCCGCCTTTATGGATGTTGGAACAAATTGTTCTCATCTGCCCATTCTGCTAGGGGAAGGCTTCACATGCTTGGGGTAGACATCCCTCTAACTCACTGATGGGCTTGAGACCCTGTGGTTACCTTCAACCTGGTTTAGCCCATCTGATGACTCAGTTTTACTGGGGTGTAGCTGCTGCTCATGCTACAGCTTCTTGGAGCCACCAATTTTGAGAGTTGAGTGAATCAGGCAGACACCTAAGGTGGATGAGCCACCCTGTAAAGGGCTTGGCAGCTCTCTCAACAGAGGTGCTAATCTTCTTTGTACCTGGTCAGTTGTTTCCTTAGGTTCACTTTCATTACTTTCTCTGTGATAAGGGTTTCTCTGACCGCCCCAACATCCCAATTTTCTCAAAACACAAATACAACATGTATATCCCACTAACTGAGCTGGGGAAGGAGTGCCTAGGTAGGTGTTCTGGGCATGTCTCCTCTGCAATCAGGCTGTACCTCCCAGCCTTCCATAGAACATCTTATTTACCTTTCTCCTCACACTTCATCCCATCCTCTGCTATGGTGTAGCCCTCAGCACAGGAACATTTTGCGTGGCTGGATTCCTGGTCCTGGCAGTACTGCCAGCAGCCACCATTTTGGTACCAGCATTGGCGTTGCTCTGTAAGGGAAAAAAAAGCATGTTGCTCTCTGTGAGTGCCCCAACTCTGAGCATGCTCTGTGGTGGAGCCTCTTGAGCTAGCCTTTGGCGTAGTCAAGGATACTGACCCAAGTTCATAGTCCTCCCCACCTAAATTGATTATTTGATTTGAAACCTCACCCTCTGGGTGTCAACAACTTGGAATGGTATAGAGGGAAGAACTTGGAAAGGTTTGTAGTTTGAAGACCCCAGTTCAATCCTGGATATACCATTTACTACCCAGGTGACCTTAGCTACGTCATTTAACCTCTCTGGGTCTCAGTTTCCTCATCTCTAAAGTGATGAGGTTGTGCTAAGTGACCTCTAGCGTTCCTTCCGACTCAATATCTATAATTCCTAGTTCCTGATTTTCTGAAAAGGTCACAAAATTATCCTACTTGGAGTGGTAGAAGAGAGAGCCTGGTGGAAGGAACATTTTATTAATAGCTAAGACATCAGAGTTCTAGTACTAATTTTTCTACTAGCTCACTGTGTCACCTTGAGGAAAATCATTTAACCTCTCTACACCTCCCTCTCAATATATGTAAAATGAATATAATAACATTAGTCCTAATCACAATAGAACAAAGATTGGTTGTAGGCAAGGTAGGCAGCCACTTAGGACAAAAATAAGGAATACAAATATTATTGTTTATAATGATACAGATCTTCCATGCCTCCAAAATCTGCTTTCCATTGTATATAGCTACTTTGTGGTTTGTCAGTTTGGTATATAACAGTGAAGTCAATTTGTCAATTTGGATATATAATGCCCTCACCTGGACAGAAACATTCACAGAGTGCAATATTTTAAAAACCTTGACCAGGTCACACAATATCTTGCCCTTCTGCTTCACAGAAGTGCTGTAAGAATCAAATGAAAAAATAGATTCGAAAACAGTATGAAGCTCAAATTCCTAAGAGTCTGGCCAATATGGCGGATCTTTAATACACCTTGTTTTTGGCTGAAAAAAAAGGAGAACAGTATGAAAAAAGGTGAGATTTGAACCCAGGGCTTCCTGGCTCCAAGTCCATCAGTTTGAAGGCAGTAGGTGGTAAATATTTTAAAATCATAAAGGTATCTAGGTAGCACAATGGATAGAACATCAAACCTAGAGTCAAGAAGACCCGAGTTCAGACCCAGTCTCAGATATTTACTAGCTGTGACTCTAGGCAAGTTACTTAATCTCTGTCTGCCTCAATTCTCTCATCTGTACAGTGGAGATGCTAGCTATTATAAAGTGCCATACAAGTTCAAGAGATCATTATTCTTAAGAATAAGAGTCATTTAAACATGAGGGGATCTTGCCATTTGGAAATGCTGAATCATCCAGCTTTGACCTACTGTGGTAGCTTCCTTCAAGGCTCAGCACATGTACCACCTCTCACAGCAAGCCTTCCAGTTTGCCTTAGTTGCTAACGCTTTCTCCCTCCACAAGTGTCCAAATATTACACCCATCAGATTGTCAAATATGAGAAAATGTAAAAATGGTCAGTGGTGGAGGGATTCTGGTAAGACAGGAACACTGTTGGTAAAGCACTGCTGGTAAAGCTGTGAATTGAACAAACTTTTGGAAGACAATTTGGAATTATAGTAAGAAAGTCACTAAATTATTCCCCAGGGATACCACTACTGGATACGTACCCCAAGCAGGCCAATGACAGAGGGAAAAGTCCCATATATACAAAAATATTGATTGCCATACTTTTCATAATGGCAAAGAACTAGAAGGAAAGTGAGTGCCCATCAATGGGGGAGTGGCTGAATAAATCATGATATGTGAAGATAATTAATATTGTTACTCTGTAAATAAATGGAAAACATAAAGAACTCAAGAGAATATCTATGAAATTATGCAGAGCAAATTATCCAAAACCAAGAGAACAATTTGCTTGATGACCACAATATAAAGGAAAACAACACTAAAAAATTTGAGAAAATTGATCAGCATAGCAATCAATCGTGTTGTGAGGCAACTTACAGAGAAGGAAGCTCTGACTCACAACAAAGACATGGTAGACTATGGGTACAGAACAAGGCACACATTTTAGACGTGGCCAATGTGTTGATTTATTTTACTTGACTATTCTTATTTGTTCAAAGACAGAGTTCTGTTGGAGGGGAAGAGGTGGGAGGGAGTCATTGGAAAGTGACAGGTTTTTTTAAGATCATTAATAATACATTTTTTTAATTGACATATATATACTTATCTTTTTACATGTTGCTTCCTCCCATTCCCTCCCTGCCCCTAGAATATAAGCTTCCTGAGGGCAGGGACTACTTTTATTTTTGTCTTTATTTTGTCTTTTTTTTTGTCTTTATTTTCCAGCACAGTTCCTTGCACAAGGTAGGCACTTTATAAATCTTAATTGGATTAGATTGAATTGACCACAACATGTGTTTGTTAACCCCTCTCCTTCCATGTGCTCCAGTCCTAGTTCCCTTAATCTTTCTGTCTCAGAGCAACAAAACTTGAATAGGCAATGATATCAGTCAACAGACGTTATTAAGTGCTTATCATGTGCAAAGGCAGTCTCTGTCCTCAAAAATCTCACATTCTAAAGGCGGAATGAGATCTTTGCATAAAGAAGAAATTCAGGCTCATCTTCTGCATCCAGTACAAATCCTGCTTTGACTTCAAAGCCTCCTTTACCCTTTATCACCAGCAGCAACATGCATACTACCTTGTACCTCCAAGGAGGAAGGTATGACCCTGGTCCCAAGACATTCAGCCTAATGAGGGGACAAGGCACTCTAATGGGAATGCCTGATGCATCTTTATTACTATATATATAGAGAGACAGACAGACAGAGACAGAGATTCTGTGTCTGCCAGTCAACAGGCATATGTTGATGTGCACATTAGTAATACCACATAAATAAAATGAGATAATAAAATAAATGTAAATGTAATTTAAACTAGATAATATTTATAAAGTCCTTAATACAGTGCTGGCACATAGTTGATGCTTAATAAATATTCATTCCCTCCCACTTGGAGCCAAATCATTAGTCCTTCCAGCCCAGGAGTCAATCTGTCTTCTTTACTACAGTCAGTCAATCAGTAAGCATTTATTAAGCTCCTACTATGTGCCAGGCACCAGCTAAACATTGGGAATACAAAGAAAGGCAAAAGACAGCCCCTGCTCTCAAGGAGCTCACAGTCTAATGGAGGAGACAACATCCAAATAACTATGTACAAATGAGTTATATACAGGTTAAACTGGAAATAATCAAGAGAGGGAAAGCACTTGAATTAAAGAGGTATGGAGAAAGGCTTCCTATACGGTAGGATTTAAGCAGGAACTTGAAGGACCCTTGGGTCTGCCAGGAGGCAGAGATGATAAGGGAGAATCATCTAGGTAAGTACACACCCACAGTTCTATTTCCCTTTCATGATTATTTTTGGATCTGTTATCTGGGAATTTGGTGGGTAGGAGGGATAAACCTGATTGTCAAGTGGTCACAAGCTAATTGAGAAAGGCCTACTCTGAAGAAAATGAGGCTTTGGGTTTAGAGCCCAAGGGCAGGAAACTGAGCTCCCATACTCACCAGTTTCACAGTGTTCCCCCACAAAACGGGGTGGGCAAACGCAAACCATCTGATAGTGCTTCACTTGACACACACCCCCATTTTTACAGGGGTTTGATTTGCAGGGATTTTTATCTGAGAGAAAAAGAAAGAAAATTGATGAGGTGAAGATTCCCTAGAGGCAGAGACCATAGCTAGAGACTGTCCCTTAATACCAGTCAAGTCTTGTTAGGGTGAATGTCTCACGGTCTCATGAGAGCTCTGTTGAGGGAACTTTCCCATGGGAGTTCTAGCTTCTATCAGTAGAAGCTGAGGGTCACAACATAGTTGCGTGGCAAAAATAAGGAAGTCTCCCAGGACCTCTCCTTTGCTGACATGCAGCTCCCACGGTTGGTTTGGCTCTCCTCTCAATGGGAGATGAGTCCTGACACGAGCTCCAGCAGACCTGATGATTGGCTATCACAGGGGGATCACGCTTTGAACATGCATCACTAGGGCCATAAAAGTCAGCTAACTGCACTCAATAAACGGAGCTTCTGCCACCTTGCTGTCTCCTGCCTCATCCATGCGTCTTGGGGTTACAGAGCATTGAGCTGGTCTCATGCTCATCACTGCAGCGGCCGCGTCAAAGTCTTAAGTAACCATAAGGCTCAGTAAATTTGTTTGTTTCATTTTCACTGAAATGCTTTTGAAATATTGCCTTGATGCAGGGCCTCAAGTCATCATACTGGGTGCTTGTGGCCCAGGACAATTAATATGATGGGTAACCTTGGCCCAATTATAGCTCCCTTCAAAACTCAACACAAGTGCTTTCTACTACAATAAGCCTATTCCGATTCTACTCCTTACCCCCATTAGTTGTTAGTACTCTCCCCTGAGAAGTTACTTGTATATATTTTGAATTTAATTTCCTATATATGTGTAGTTTTCCTGCTGCATCCCTCTAAAGGAACTTAAGCTTTCTAAGGTCAGGAGCAGTTTCATTTTTGTATCTCCAAGGCCAGCACAGTGCCTAGAAATCAACCACTAAGTGTTTGCTAAGAATCTACTATGTGTGGGGCAGCTAGATGGCACAGTGGATAGAGCAACGGCTCTGGAGTCAGGAGGACCTGAGTTCAAATCCAGCCTCAGATATTTGATACTTAGTAGCTGTGTGACCCTGAGAAAGTCATTTAACCCCATTGCCTAGTTTAAAAAGAAAGAAAGAAAGAAAAGAAGAATCTACTATGTGGCAAGCACCAAGCTAAGCACTGAGGATACAAAAACAAAATGGTCCCTGCCCTCAAGGAGCTTATAGTCTCATACAGAGATATCCTACAGAGGTCTCAACATGTACATATTTAAGTTTATACAGAATAAACATAACAAATACAAGCATGTTTAAGTACTAGCAGGTTGGGAGATTAGGAAAGTTTTCATGTAGAAAGTATATTTGAGTTCTCCAAGGCAGAAATGAAAAGGGAATGCATTCTAGGCATGAGGGACAAAGGCAGGGAGACAGAAGGTATAGTGTGGTATGTGAGGAACAGTAGTATGTCCAGTTTGGCTGAGTTGTAACATGAATGAAGAGGAGTAGTACATAATAATTCTGGAAGGGTAACTGAAGCTAAGTTTTGACGGACTTAAAAAACCAAAGAAAGGAGTTTATGTTTATCCTAGAGGTGATAGGGAGCTACTAGAATTTCTTGAATAGGGCAGTGACACCGTCAGACCTATACTTAATGCTTGCTTTGGCAGCTTGGTGGAAGACGGATAGGAATGGGGAGAAACTCAAGGCAGAGACTAATTAGTGGATACTGTCATGTCACATGACCCACAATATGGCAGACTAGACATTTTCTCTGATCCTCATGACCTCTTGAACCTCTCCAAAGTAGGAATTTTGCCCGGGAGATAAATCAGTGATAAATCAGTCTCTGTGGTCTAAGACTCCATGAATCCAAATAAGATAACAATTCAATGAAATAATAGTAGATAAAACTAAATGTTAGCCCTAACGTGCTCACTCAGTACTTTTTGCCCCATTGCCTACCACTTCTGGCAGAAGGACTGCACACACTGACCCATGGACATGCAACAGAACTCAACTCTACATCCCCTCTTTTTTCCTACCAATCCTGGAGAAAACCAAAAGACAGAAGCAGGTTTAGGTCAAAACATCAGTGCAGCAACCCTCTGTAGCTCATCCAGAAAACTAGAAAAGACAGCGGGAACTGGGGCAGGACACATATGTGTGGTTGTGTGGTGTTACACTAAGTTTGATACAAAGAGCTCCACTTTCAATTGGAGCCAGTTCTGTATCTCCTCCCATCCCCTGAAGTTACTTAGGACAGAGATTAAGGCTGGTGAACGCAATTAAACATCATGGGAGGTAGTAAAGATGGCTTTAAAATCCAGCTCTCAAGGAAATCACACTCAAAGAGTGAAGGAGTCAGAAAGAGAGCAATAGGGGACTACAAGAAAAGAAAAAGTCTGAAAATACCAAAGATCTCAGTAGGAATAAAACTAAATTAAAGACCTACAGCATAAACCAAAAAAAAAAAACAAAACAAAACTAACTAGACATTAATAGCAGAAGGGAATATGGCCTCTTAATCAGGTAAAAGAGTTCAGGCATCTATGAATAAATGCTGCATGACAAAGGAAAGTGAATCAACACTTGATGAGGCAAACATCCTGTAAATTCCAAAGAGAGCATGGAACCACAGCAGGATGTTCCTGAATGGTTTAAAAAAAGAAATAAGAAAGTGAAGGTGGAATTTATAACCCACACAGAAGAAATAATTGGCAGAATAGAAAAACTTGAACCCATGGTGGCAAGACTCGCTAAAGAAACAGAAGAGAAAAAAACCTAAGTGGGAATGCAAATACACAGAAGTGAAGGATAAACTGGAAGAAGAGTAGCAAAAAGCAATAACATTAAAAGAAAACATTATTTCCATGCAAGCAAAATATATTGATCTCAAAGACAGGATGCATAGAGAAAACTTAATAACTATAGGTCTTCAAGAAAAACATGACAAGTCAAAAAAACAAGAAATAATACAAGAAAGCTGTTTAGAATTTTTGAACACTGAAAACAAAATGTCAAAATAATCTATATAGTTTTTTTTTCCTTCAGAAAAAGCCCTGTGCTGCAGTCTCCAACACATATGTCACATTTAATAAATTTAACAAAGGAAATCCTTCAAGTGACCACAAGAAAGACCTTCAAATATAAATGAAAGGAAATTTGAATAATACAAGACTACTGTATTCTGCATCAACCAGAAAAATGCAGAAAGGAATGGAAACATGTGCAAAGATCAAAGAAGCTCAAGATGCAACTCAGGGTGCAATGCAACCTACTCTGCAAAGCTTGAGTCTAGCCATTAATGAAGAACATAGATGTTCCAAAAAAAAAAAAAAAGGTGCTAGAAAGAAAACCAGTCCTGAAGAAATTATTTGCTTTTCAAATGCCTCAGATAATAACAGATATGCAAGAAAGGCAAATAAATACAGCAACCAAGTCCAGCAAAATAACAACAGAGAGACCATTAAAAGATTTCTTTCTAAATGTTCACAAGGGGGCAAGGTAGAAAACAGACATCAAATAGAAGTGATAGTAGAGAAACAGGCCTGAAGCATCATGGACTAAACCTCACGACACTCCTTCTACCAATGAATCAGTTTTTGGGTTTTTTTTTAAGGAATTAACTTACAAAAGAAGAGAGTGCATAAAAGGGAGAAGATAGAAGGGAATGAGATATCTTGGGGCAGCTAGGTGGCACAGTGTACAGAGCAGCAGCCCTGGAGCCAGGAGGACCTGAATTCAAATTCAGCCTCAGACTACTTGGCACTTACTAGCTGTGTGACCCTGGGCAAGTCACTTAACCTCAATTGCCTTGCAAAAGGAAAAAAAAAGAATGACATATCTTACACCAAAAGCTTACAATGAAGGGGAAATAATTCCTATAGTCTCTCAGGAAGAAGAAAGCCCATAAGAGAATTTGTAAGGAGGCAAAGGGAGATGCTGAAAAAGAGAGAAATCTTTGAGTAGTGGGAGAGGTCACTACTGATGCATGCCTCTATGGGAGATCAGAACTATTCTCTGTCTCTGTCTCTGTCTCTGTCTCTCTCTCTCAGCAAAGGTTAACTGACCTGCCCAGGGTGGCACAGATGGGTATAATCTGCAGGGATCTGGAAGCAGGCACTCATCCTGCCTGAGGAACTGGAGCTCCTTCGGGGAAATGACACTCAGAGGAGTACAAGGACGTGAACCCAAGGAGGAGATTTCAAAACAAATGGGTGAGGGCAAAGTTTAACAATGAATTGCACAATGAGGAACATAGGAAAATGCCAACCATGGGGCAATATCCTCTCTATCACCTGCAGGAATTTGTATTTCTAAGAGTGAGGTACAACAGAAAAGGGAGGCCAAGGGGTAAGATCTACAAGGCAGTAACATGGAAACTGTGTAGAAGAAGGTACTTTGGAAGCTTTAATTCCACGAAGAATAGAGAGAATAAAGAGACTAAGTATAAGGGCCATGAATTAAAGAATAGAAATCTAGAATAGACAGAAAGTGAAGACAAATAATGATGAGAATGAGAGAAATAAATGAGAAAAAGGCACAAAAAATGAAAATTTAAAACTAACAAAATAAAATAAGAGGGAGAAGGGGAAGATGGATTTTATTTGGCTGCTAAACTGAAAAGGAAAAAAGAAAGGAAGAATTAAATAACTAGATAAAAACAAGAAAAAAAAGAACTAATAAAAAGCAAAATTCCAAAACTAGGGAAAGGTATGTCAGATGAGGTTGGGTTGAGAGTAAGGATAAGAGAGCTAGTAGGAATAGAATTACCTTAAAATAGATTAATATAAAATAATTAAAATAACTGAAGAAATAAAGTATTGTATTTATGGATGGGGGGGATGGAATAAACCTAATTCGGAGACTAAACAGGAAACCACTATAATAATCTAGGCAAGACTGACACAGTCCTGAACTAAGGTAATGACTGTGTACATAATGAGAAGAGGACATCAGAGAGATAGTGTAAAGGTAGAAAAAAACAAGATTTTGTAACTGATTGGATTGAATGGATGGAGATAAATATGTGTGTGTGTGTGTGTGTGTGTGTGTGTATATATATACATATATATATACACATATATATATATAATCGATTGGATTATTTCTTTTTCTTTTTTTCCCCCCAAAGCAATTGGGGTTAAGTGACTTGTCCAGGGTCACACCTCTATTAAGTGTCAAATGTCTGGTCTGAGACCAGATTTGAACTCAGGTCCTCCTGACTCCAGGGCTGGTACTCTATACACTGTATACTCTATCCACTGTATACTCTATACACTGGGCCACCTAGCTGCCACCTAGCTGCCCCTGGTTATTTCTAATAATGATGGGATTTCCCTGAGTCATAGGAGCATAGAATGAATTAAAGCTGGAAAAGACTTGGTGGTCAATTAGTTCAAACTCCTCATTATACAGATAGGGAAAATGAGGTCCAGAAAGGTCAAAAGACTTTTCCAGGGAGGCAGAAATAGGAAGTCACAGAGGAAGGATTTGACTCCAAATCTTGAACTGTTTTAGCATCTTCCTGCTAAGCCTTTGGTCCCCTCCCTTACTAGGCTACAGGGTTCCAGTGGCGCCTTGTGTTCATATGCCATACTTCCATTGTTCAATCTACATGACTCCTTTTTAATTTTAATTTTAGCAAAAGTGAACACTAGAACAAAGCTCTGTTTTATTAGAATTATAAGTCAAAGACTAAACCACTGGAGGTACCTTGTATTTTTCTGATAGAGCCTGGACTGAATCCATTGCTTTGTCTCACAATGTGCTGCCCCATTTAACTGTTGGTTCCCCACCAGCATACATACATTTGTTTAAAATGTTATTGATGCCCTTGGTTTTGACATCAGTCATCTAGGAGATATATAATCCCTCCTCCTGCCCCTAGAATCAAATCTTCCCTTTAACAGAGAAAAACAGTTCGGCAAAAACAACCAATGTAGTTACCACATCTTGTAATATAGGCAACATCCTGCATATATTACATCTTGTAACCCCCCACCTCTCTGCCAAGAGGAAGTGGATGTGTTTCATTGACTCTTCTGTGAGGCCAATATTGGTTTTTACAGTTACTCAAGAGTTTGGCTTCCTTTTCAAGTTCTTTTCATTTACATCGTAGTCATTGTGTAAATTGCTCTTCTGATTCTGCTTATTTCTACTCATCATTTCCCACAAGTCTCTGAGTTCTTCATACTCCCACAGCTCCCTTTCTCTTGTGCTGTCTCGATGGGAGGGCCCCATAAAGCCTGCTCTGGATACTAGGCTCCACGGGGTTTCTGTGGCCCCGGACACCATCTCTATCAGCCTGGCATTTTAGAATCAGAAAAAACCTTGGAGGCCATCCATTCCAACCCCTCATCCCAGCAACAGCTTGGAAAAAAGAAGATAGTAATTTTTAAATTATATTAATCACCCTACTTCTACCTTCATCAAGTAGATAAAGTAATTGAACAAGAAGATGGACATTTTTAACTTTTCAAAAAAGTTCTTTCCTGTGTGCTATCTCATTTGATCCTCACATCCACCCTATGAGGTAAGTCGGGCGGGTATTATTTTCCTTATTGAGGCAACATGACACTTTGGAAAGGCTGACTACAAGTAAGTTCTCTGAACCTGTTTCCTCCTTTAGAAAATAAAGAAAATGGTCTGCAGTTCTGTGATTAGAAGATCTCCAAGATCCCTTCCCACTTGAACATCCCAGTTCACTTTACGTAGGAAGAAAGTAGGGACAAGCTTGCTGAAGTGACTAGCCTGAAATCACAATATGGCTAGCTGAGACAAAATTAGAATTTGGGTCCCCTGATCCCTGACCCAGTCATTGTCCATTACCCCACCAGGATAAGAGATAGCCTTACTTCCTCCTCTTCTTCTTACCTTTGTAGTAGAACCAGAACTCCATCTGCAGAAACAAATACACAACAGTTATCAGAAAGAGACATCAGCTCTATCTTCCCTTCCATGGAGAGCCTGTCTGTTCCCATATCTTTGCTTCAAACTCACTAGAACAAGCCAAAGGGAGACTCACACTTTAACCAAAGGACCCTGACTCCAGAGAGGGATGGGATTGGTCAACCTCAGCTCATCTTTTCACTCCTCAGATCCATGGCCCCTCTGACGACTGGTGGGGGAGAGGAAGGAAGATGTGGAAGAGGAAGTGGCTATTCTTGAGCAATTCAGTGTGCATGTATTACTACACTCGACTTTTAAATCTCTGTGCCACTGGAGCAGGTTTAGAATGCAGTGAACACAATGCAGCAGAGAATCACAGATACTTAGAAGATGGAAGCTATTCTAAAGATTATCTACTAGTCCAACCCCATTATTTCAGAGATGAGTAAACTGAGGCCCCCAAAAGCAATGACTTGCCCCGGCCATACGGTTAATAGACAAGCTAGAACTAGAACCAAGGTCTCTACGAAAGAAATCTATATATGGCTTTGGAGTGCACACATGTGACTGAGTTTTGCTTCGGTCTTATAGCTATTTCAGCTATTGCTAAAATAAATTTCTACTCCTTGAGCACATATCTATGAGGTTGGAAATGTTTGTTCCAGATATGACGGGAGATGGGGCAAGGGTAGGAAGAAAGGGGAACAGAGCAACCTAGTGATTACATAGGAGCCATAGATGATCTTCAAAATAAATGAACAAATGAAAAATGAATGAATAAATAATAGATAGATAGATAGATAGATAGATAGATAGATAGATAGATAGAAAACTGGGTATTGACTTGGGCTGTGAGGACCAGAGCATGCCAATGGGATGAGTCAAAGAGGGATGATAGGAGTACATAGCATTAGAGAAAGAAAGAAGATCAAAGCACTCACCGTTTTCTCTTGGGACTCAAAAACCTCCCGGGCTTCTTCAAAGGAGCAGCTCTCTTCCACACACTCCCTTTCAATGTTTCCTTGTTTCAGTTCCTCCAGGAACTGGTTCTCTCTCTTTCGTAGCCTCAAGATCCTGGTGGCTTCAACTTTTCTCAAAAACACTTTAAAAATACCAACATTCCTCAACTTTAGTTGACAAGGCCAACAATAAAGAAACTCAGTGCTCTGTAAGTCCCTGCGCAGCCCACTGTGGAAGGACATACCAGAGCTAGATCCATTAACTCCTAGGGAACAACTCTGGCTGTTAGAACACCCCATCACAGGTTAGCAAATGGAATATGGTAAGACATGGTAGCTTGGGTCTACTGTTAAGAGCACTAGACTTGGAGTCAGAGGCTCTCTGGTCATTATTGGATTATGTTCTCAAATTGGTAGAATTCCACTGGACAGATAAAAAGGTTTCTTTTTCTTACCTTCCTCTCACATGAGGACCATGCCATACACTATTCTAGGTACCGTGAACTCTTTGACATGGTGTCCTTATTATAGAATCACATAAAATCAAGCATCCAGTCTACCCTATTTCTATTATTCAGTGTTTTTGTTAGTCCTTACATATCTTAATCTGCTCAGTCTTTTTCTGAACTACTAATATGGGTAAAGTACAGGCACTCTTACAGTGCCATTGACTAACAACTTTTTTTTCAAGTGGTTCCTTAGGTCTGCCATCTTGGAGAGAACCATTTTTTCTGGGACTCTTTTTGTAAGAGAGTAAAGTAGTCATAGAAGTGGATTGTGCAGCAGCCTCTGCAGACATAGCCTACTCATGCATTGAAAACACGTCAGCCCCTACCACTGGGTTTCCTCAAGTGATGCTTCCATTCTATGGGCACCAAGGAATTTCCAAAAATCAAACTTCTCTGGCTATACCCCCATGGTTGAGGGTTTGGGGGGGATAACCTGAGAGTGCTGGTTGCCATGAACCTGTGTGTTCCCTGCCAGCACTGCCTTCTGCCCTTCTATAAGTTAGTGCAGGGAAGACATAAATGGTAAGGAGGTTCCAGTACTGTACCCCTACTCACTGCCTATATATAGTACCATGTGAGCATTCTGCATAGCTAGAATTAGTCTCGCTCAAACCAGAAACTCCAGAGAAATTGGTTGAGTTTAGACACATCAGGGTTATGGTATCCATCCACCTCTTCAAAGGCACCCATGGACACTCGATGTTTTAATATAACTCCAATCAAGGTGGTCCCTGCTAATTTTCAGAGAGACTTAATCCCTTTAGAGGCAGCAAAGATATTTTGGTTTCTATCAAATGAGTTTTATATCATTATTACTCAGGATCCACTGTCCAAGTCATCAGGATACTTTTAACTGTCATACTTTCAAGACAATACTAGGTATCATATTTTTCATTTTTCTTCCCCTGCTATTGAGATGCATAATAGCTTTGACTATCTAAATCCTTCCTAAAATAAAGCCTACTTGAAACAACCAGCTAGTATTTATTATATACCTACTATGTATCAGGCACTGGGGATTTAAGTACAAAGAATGAAATAATCCCTACTTGCAATGAGTTACATTCCAATGGGGGAGGCACCAAATATTTGTGAAAATATTGACCAACCTAGCCTACAGAGGCAATAATAGCAACAATATAATGATAATGATAAACCACACTTATATCAAGTGTCCCAAAAGTCTCAGTGCCATTTTAAACTTCAACATCCTGTATAGCCCTTTAAAGTATACAAAGTATTTGCCTCATATTGACTTTGTGAGATAAGTAGCATAAGTATTATTATTCCCATTTGAGCCTTTCCAGAAGTTAAAAGAGGTTAAATGACCTGCTCTGGGTCATGCATCTAATGTGAGATTTGAGCCAGCCTCTTACCCTTAAGTCCAGCAGAGTATTCTACTACACTTCTGGATTATTATGGCAATTATATAGTCTGTTTACCATTTGAGTGCATAATTATTTGTCATTCACTATTGTTTCATGTATGTTGGTCTTCTCTTCCTACCCCCACCCCCTAAGTAAACCATAAGTGTTCTAAGCCCAGAGACCATATCTTATACAGGGTATCTCAAAAGTCTTAGTGCAGTTTTAAATTTTAGTAGCTTAAATACACTAAGACTTTTGGTATGCTCTAATTTGTGAAGGTGGAGATGTGCTCCACAGCAGCTATCACAGGGCTAGATAAACAAATGGTGCTGTTAAGATTTGATTGCAATCTGCCTCAGAGGAGCAAGCATCTTCACATTGGAGAAATCACGAGATCAAAATGGTCAAGAGACACATATGAGAGTGACCAGCCTGAATCAGAAAAGTAAACACACACACACACACACACACACACACACACACACACACACACACTCCCCTCCATCCTCACTGATATCAGCATGATGAGGTCCCTTATTCCCATCAGCTATCAGCCTCTACATACCTGACTCTGCTCCAGCCACATAGGGGAGGCCCAGTCCCAATGCCAGGAGTGTTGGAATCAATAAGAACTTCCATGTCATGATGGGAGAAGGAAATAAAGAGCTTCAGAGGTGCCCAAGGTTATCAGTCACAGGAACTCTGAAGGAAAAAGGGCAAAGAGGTACCCCAGAGAAGGGAGAGCCACACAGGTAAAATGGACAGAAAACATGCCTAAGGAGATCGAGGGTGCCAATGCACTTTAAACGTCCTTACCTTTTTCACTCACACCTCTTCAGAAGAGTGTCCCAGCTCTAACCCACATGATCACTCTCTTCTCTGAATTTCTTAAGTTCAGAAACTCCTATTGACATATTCAATTCCCTCAATCTAGTATTTGATAATTTAGCTTAATATTATTTCTCATATATCTGCTTTGTCTCTCCCATAAAGATGTAAACTCTTGACTAGAAACCAAGTCTTAGTTCTGATTCCCCTCCCTCACTATCGGTGGTCTGTGCCCACCAATTAGTTGCTCAATACCTATGCGTGCATTTATAAACTTGTGTGACCCTGGGCTAGTCACTTTGTGGGGATATAAGGTATATGTAAGACATAATTTCTGCCCTTGGGGAGTTTAAAATCTACTAGCAGAGATACAACCAGGTAGCATCAGTATAGTGAGAGGCTGAGGCTTGCTCTTGCCAGCTGATCCTTTGTTGGAATGGGTTCTGAATGATGAAAGGCAATGCCAGGCAAGATAAGATTGGGTGAGCTAGCCTAGTCTCACCTCCACCCACAAGTTCACTGAACACTGCCTGCCCCCTTCTCTTTCCCAAAAGGATAATGTTGGCTGCTATCACATTTGCCAGCTGGAAACACTGGCCAGTCTGGAAGTCTGGGGGCTATACCTCTTACTGGGGGAAATAAGAGTCCATTCTGCCTTGTACTAGCAGGGTTTAAGAGGAAAGAAGAATGTAATTTTTTTTTTCTCTCAGGACTCCAGACAATCAGCTAATCCCTAAAGGGTTGGACCTATGTTTCCTCAATACTGCCCTGCCCACACCTTTTCCCAGACATCCCCTCATTCTCCCTGCAGGTCTCTCCGAATAAATCCAAGTTGTCGGAATGAACACTCACCTTCTCGGGAGATCTGGGTTGTGGTGGTTTCTGAAGCCCTAAGAACAGCCACCAGCTAATGATTGACATGTTGCAAATATTGGCAGAGATACAGGGTCTACTCTGGCCACTGCCCAACCAAACATGTTTATCCAACTTTCCCCCTTTTCCTCTGTAGGAGTGAAGAAAACTCCCTGGTAGCCTTCTCTTAGAGAGAGAACTTCAAGGTTCATAACTTGTCTCCCTTTGGGAGGCAGTTCCCTAAATAAAAGCTTCAGCCCATCACCCTCCTCAGTCTAGCAGCTTCAACTTGTCTCTCACTGCTTTTCAAAAGAAACCCTTCCTTTCAGTCAGGCTGGCTGCTTCACCTTCTTCCCATTCCTCTTCATTCTTGTGTTGAGCCTTACTCTTACCCTGTTCCTCCTATCAAGAATTGATCGACTAATTGATTTCATTTCAGGAAGGCTTTTTCTTAGGTAGTAAAATCTAAAGAAACTATCTTAATGGATACGAAGTGGGAGAACCTAATAGGCATAAGTCCTTCCCCAATGTGGTCAGTTTCATAGTATGATAGGTTTAAAGTTGGAAGGGACCTTAAAGACCAACCCCTTCATTTTACAGGTAAAGAAACTGAGGCTAAGATGTATCAAGTGACTTGCCCAGGGTCACACACCTAGTAAATGAAAGTAATAAGTTTGAACCTTAGGTCTTACTGATTCTTAATTTAACACTGTGCTACTACAGCCTGCTGCTTCTGAATCTAAACCTTTAGTCTCTCTCCTTTCCAATCAGCTGACTTTATTATTAAATTGCCCTTCACTAAAGGGCAATCCTCACCTCACTCCAACCTCAGGGCACCTCCCTAGAGAAGGAATGTGAAATCCTGCCTCTTCTGTGCTCAAGCCAGAGAGAGAGAATTACCTGATTGGAGCTTACTCAACTCACAAAGTTGACTCACCCATGCCAGGAAACCCGGGGCATCACCAGTGATTACCCAGCCTTGGGAATAAGTACAAGCCACTGACCTGGTCACATTGATCTCATCCCAGGGGAGTTCTTTCGTTCGTTCTTTCTTTCTTTCTTTCTTTCTTTCTTTTTAGGTTATACATGTGCAGTTATGCAAAACACTTCCATAGTAGACATGCTGTGAAAAACTAACTCTATTTCCCTTAATCTTATCCTGCTCTCCCCCATTTATTCTATTCTTTCTTTTGACCCTGTCTCTCCTCATAAGTATTTGCTCCTGATTACCCCCATACCCAATCTGCCCTCCTCTCTATCATCCCCCTACTTTCTTGTCCCCTCCCCCCCATTTTCCTGTAGAGTAAGATAGATTTCCATACCCAATTGAGTGTGTATGTTATTCCCTCAAGTCAAATCCTATGAGAATAAGATTCACTCATTCTCTCTCACCTTCCCCTGTTTCCCTTCCACTGTAAGAGACTTTTCTTTTATTTTTTTTTGTGTGAGATAATTTACCCCATTCTACCTCTCCCCTTCTCCTTCCCCTAATATAATCCTCTCTCACCCCTTAATTTTATTCTCCAGATAACGACCCTTTCATCATCAACTCTCCCTGTGCCCTCTATCTATCTATCTATCTATCTATCTATCTATCTATACATAGATACATACATATAATTTTTTCTCTCCAACTACCCTAATACTGACAAAGGTCTCATGAGATACAAATATCATCTTTCCATGCAGAAATGTAAACAGTTCAACCTTAATAAGTCTCTTATGATTTCTCTTTCCTGTTTACCTCTTCATGTTCCACTTGAGTCTTGTATTTGAAAGTCAAATTTTCTATTCAGCTCTGGTCTTTTCATCAAGAATGCTTGAAGGCCCTCTATTTCACTGAATGACCATTTTTTCCCCTGAAGGATTATACTCGGTTTTGCTGGGTAGGTGATTCTTGGTTGTAATCCTATCTCCTTTGCCCTCCAGAATATTATATTCCATGCCCTGCAGTCCCTTAATGTAGAAGCTGCTAAATCTTGTGTTATCCTGATTGTGTTTCCACAATACTTGAATTGTTTCTTTCTGGCTGCTTGCAGTATTTTCTCCTTGACCTGGGAACTCTGAAATTTGGCTACAATATTCCTAGTAGTTTTCCTTTGGGGATCTCTTTCAGGAGGAGATCAGTGGATTCTTTCAATTTCTATTTTGCCCTCTGGTTCTAAAATAGCAGGGCAGTTTTCCTTGATAAATTCTTGAAAGATGATGTCTAGGCTCTTTTTTTGATCATGGCTTTCAGATAGTCCAATAATTTTTAAATTCCCTCTCTTGGATCTATTTTCCAGGTCAGTTGTTTTTTCAGTGAGATACTTCACATTGTTTTCTAGTTTTTCATCCTTTTGGATTTATTTTACAATGTCTTGATTTCTCATAAAGTCACTAGCTTCCAATTGCTCTATTCTAATTTTTAAGGAAGTATTTTCTCCAGTAATCTTTTGGACTTCCTTTTCCATTTGGCCAATTTTGCTGTTTAAGGCATTCTTTTCCTCATTAGCTTTTTGGACCTCTTTTGCCATTTGGGTTAGGCTATTTTTTAAGGTGTTATTTTCTTCACTATTTTTTTGGGTCTCCTTTAGCAAGCTGTTGACTTGTTTTTCATGATTTTCTTGCATCACTCTCATTTCTCTTCCCAGTTCTTCCTCTACTTCTCTTATTTGCTTCTCACAATCCCTTTTGAGCTGCTCCAAGGCCTAAGACTAATTCATATTTTTCTTGGAGGCTTTGGATATAGGAGCTTTGACTTTGTTGTCTTCTTCTGGTTGTATGTTTTGATCTTCTTTGTCACCAAAATAAGATAATATAGTTTGACTCTTTTTGCGAGGTTTGCTCATGATCCTAGCCAATTACTTGAGTTTTAAACTTTTTGTTAAGGTAAGAATCTGCTTCCAATGTACCGTCCCAAGCTTCAGGGGTTTGTCCAGCTGTTTTCAGAGATACTTCTAGGGACCTGTAAATTTTCAGTTCTTCCAAGGTACTATGATAAGGGGTGAGGTGTTTCCTCTCTACCACCACAGCAAGCTCCACCATGCCAGCACTCCTCCTCACCCCAGGACTGCCCCTCAGAACTGTGACCCAGATCCAAGCACGGGCAAAGCAAGAGAATCCTGCCTCAGCACTGGCAAAGAGATCCCTGCAATCCCCCTCTGATCAGCCACTCGATTCCCCCTCAGTCTGTGGCAGAAGCTCAGGAGGCAGCCACTGCCCGTACTTGGGACTTGTGGCTGAAACCTAGCTTCTAACTCTCACCGCAGTCACAGACTTTTCCCACTGACCTTCCAAGTTGTCTTTGGCATTCATGTGTTGAAAAGCCTGGAAACCTCCACAGCTGCCCGCGATTCAGTCCTCTGAGGCCTGCTCCAGGGTCGCTGGGGCCTACGAGCCCCACGCCAAACTGTGCTCCTCTCCCAGCCCAGCGCAATATACCTTTCTTATCAGCCATCCAGATTGTCTTGGGCTGGAAATTTGTTTCACTCTGTCTTTTTGTGGGTTCTACTGCTTTAGAATTTATTTAGAGCCATTTTTTATAGGTTTTTGGAGAGGTGTAGGGGAGAGCTCAAGCAAGTCACTGCTTTCACTCCACCATCTTGGCTCTGCCCCCCCCCCCCAGGGGAGTTCTTTCTGACAGCAGCTGCTTGGGTTTTTTGCTTCTCTTTTTTGTGAGTTATGTTTGAAGGGCAATCCAGTGGTGGATGCTCCAAGATATCTTTTTGGTACCTAGTCCAACAAGCCTTCTCTGATCACCAGATAAAAATGATTATTCTTTCCCTCTACAAACTCCTATAGGGATAATTGTTTTCTCTATCATTCCTATAACTCTTAGTACCTAAAGCTTTGTACAATAGTTATTTGTATGCATGTAGTTATACTGAGGAGACAACATAATACACTGGAAAGATTGTAGCAGCCTAGTTGCTCATTGGACAAAGCACTGGAATGGAAGTCAGGAGGACTTGAGTTCAAATCTGACCTCGGATACTTACTAGCTGTGGGACCCTGGGCAAGTCACTTTATCTCTGTCTGCCTCAGTTTCCTCATCTATAAAATGGGGATAATAAAAACACTTACTTCCTAAGGTTATTGTGAGGATAAAATGAGATAATATTTGTAGAGTGATTTGCAAACTTTTAAGCATTATATAAATGCCAGTTATCTATTATTATTAATTATCTACAATCAGGAGACACCTATCTTGCCTTGACATTAACTGTGTCAACATGTGAAAAATTACTAAACACCTCTGAGCCTCAGTTTCCTCATCAGCAAAATAGGGATAATAGTAGTTGTAATAAGGGTTACCCCATGGAGCTGGGCATATGTTTCAGGTTCATGGAAATGGATATGTGCCTTGGTCTCTTTCTGTGGTACATATGTCCCAGGCTCTTGCTAAAGTGCATGCTACATAGACACAACTGATTGGTCACTTTGTCCCCATGACCAGGACTTCAAAGAGGATGGCTACTGAATATTGCAGGGGATTAACTCCTATATAGAGACCTCCCCTCTCAAATGAGCTATACAAAGTCTCTGCTCCTTTCCTTTAAGTCGGCCACTTTGGGACTATGTCTGGTGTTCTTTGGACTTCCATTGAGGGGTGAGGGGAATCTCCACACACATACACACACACACACACACACTCACCACCACCACCAGCAGCAATGGCAGTCCATATCTAGAGCACATGTGAGTGAGAATATGTACTTACCTAGGCAAATCTATCTGAACCTTCAGACCTTGGCTGCCTCTTTGCTCCCTATGCACAGGTCAAAGGATTTAAGGATTATAGATTTAGAGATGAAAGGGATTTTAAAGGTCGTGGAATACAGCCCCTTCTAGCCAAGACTTGCCGAGGATCACACAACTAGGAAGTATCTGAGGCAGCAGTCCTGATATGAGTATTTCTAATACTGTCAATAACTCGTGAATTCAAGAGTTCCTAGGTTCTGAGTCCATGATGACTGCCTAATAGAAGAGGCTGCCTGCAATTACATCACTTCTAAGTGGAGATGTCCAAGACAAGCAGGATCCTATGCTGAAGGGACTAAAAAGTTACAGCATGCCAAGGCATGCTGTTTTGAGTCTTACGAGTTGCTCAGATAGGAAGGTCTCAGGTGAAGGTGAAAAGTCTGTTTGGTAGTCCCACAAAGTTGTTTGTGTGTGTGTGTGTGTGTGTGTGTGTGTGTGTGCACGCGCGTGTGAGTGTGTGTTTTTAACCTCTCAGGAAAGTATAATGAGTGTGGTGTTATTATTTTAAATGTATTATACTTCCAGTATTTGTTAATAAGCACTTAAGAGACACATGTGCTTTCAGCATTTTCTTTCTTTTTGGAGAAAATAAATAGCTGTCCTATACATGATTTCTGTTTTGTACCATGAGTACCTTTTTTGTTAGATGCTAGACCCTTTTTTGGCGGGGTAAGAGGTACTACAGGATACATATATTATCAGTTGCACTTAGGAAAAATGTCATACACGCCTCTTTCTTATAGAGTATGTGCTACCAGCTGTCCTTCCTCCTATCCTGCACACATTCAGGTACTTGTGCACATTAGCCACACATGAAGGGTTCTTATGCTATCTCCTCCTTTCTCACTGCTTTCTAGAGGAGAAGCTGACAAAGGATAAATAAAGGCTCAAAACTGGGGAAAAGAAGACCTCTGGGAGATAAGGAGAGGGGAAGGGAAGCATCAGGAGCAAGGAGTGAGCAAGTGAAAAGGTGAGAGAGACATGCTTTTAAAAGTTTTTCTTTTTGCCTTAAAATCTTAGTATTGTAGGGAATATAGTGATAAATTCTCATGCTACAACCCTGACTCCTACCCTCCACAGTAAGCTCCCACATCACAGCCCTTTGGTTTCACAGACAAAATGCAATAGTCCTCTTAAGACCTGAGGGTAATTGAGAAAAACCTATTGATCCCCAAAACTACTTCCACAGTTCCATAGACCACTTTTGAAAAACTGCCTTTTCCTTAATTTCCCAGGTTGAATTCCTAAGATTCACATGCCAATGAAATCAGGACCACTATTCCCACTTTTGCTTGTGTTTCCCTTTAAAAAGGAAAGTGAAGATGCCAGGAGGGATACGATGAAAACCTCCAAACAGCATGTGAATTCCAGAGGCAGTGCGGAGCAGAGTCTCAGAGATATGTGAAAGATGAGAAGGTGCCTGAAGCATCTGGTGTGTATTCTGAGCACCTTTCCTGGAAATGACCCCTTAATTCTTTTTGAGGAGATGCTAGACATAAGTCAAATCTAAACTTTGTTTAAAAGATTTTCCCCAGAGTTCTACTCTGGTTATAATGGGAGCAAAATAAACCAAAAAAAAAAAATTCAAGGAAAACTTGACTTCCCTCTTTGGAGTCCCAAATGATGAATATAGTCTTCATGTGAAGACACACTCAGAGCCCCTTTTCTGGAAGGGAGGAAGTGTGATATAATGGAGAAGCTATCTCATTGAATTATTAGGAAGTTCAAATAAGACAATTTATGGCAGGGAAATAAGGGCATTGGGTTGCTCTGCCCTTCTTTGACTCTCTCTGCCATTTCCCCTTTTCCTAATCCTAGCACCATTTTGTGGTTGTCAGAGGTTCTCTCATACATAAGACTTAATATTTGGACATAAGGGAAAATTGAAAAGAGGAATGTAAAGGGTAGAAATGTTTTTCACTAGTCTCAAAAATGCTCAGCAGGAGATGATGTTCACATGTCTGAGAGATGGGAAGCATACTGACTTCAGTGCACCCTAAGGCAGGAAAGAGGTGAAATGTAATTTAGTTACCCTAAGTGCTGAGGACCTTCCTTAGAGAAAGAACATCAGCAGGTCTCTAAGAGGTCATCAGTCAACAAGTATTTATTAAGGCTTACTCTGTGCTAGCATTGTAATAAGTGCTGGTGACAAAAATAAATAAATAAAAATAAGCTTTGTCCCCAAGGTGAGAGTCCAATGGGAGACATTCTACTGAGGAAGACAATCTGAAAACAACTATGCACATACAAGATAAATTTATGGTAATCTCAGCAGTCTGCCAGGTTCCTGAAGGGCCCTTTTATTTTCCCCTAGAGCATGGCTATACATTTAGCTATCCCTAGCTATACCTAGCATAGTGCCTGCGAATAGTAGGTGCTCAATTGTTATAGCTTCACTCTTTTACTGATTAATTGTTGTGTTAACTAGCCCAGAGGCAATTTGGTCCTGGATAAAAGAACTGTAACACTTTCCTAAAGAAGGGAGAGTAGCAGGCAGTACAGGGAGGCTGCCACCTCAAAGCAATGAGAAGTTTCTGGGTCAAATTGAAGAGCAGAGAGACAGGGACAACTGGACCTTTCCTTCACAGGTTATATGAACTGTGATGGCCTAGGGGAGGGAAGTTGGCTCTACAGCAACCCCGAAGTTCTCCACTTAGGAGATCTCAACCCCAGGATGGCTCTTTAAGGCTGAAACAACTGTAGACGTTCCTGTGAAAGGTAGTTTCCCCCAGAGGGTTGAGTTGCTTTTATCTTTAGAAGCCCCCAAGTTCTTTCCGTACTTGAAGGGGCATTGACTCCAGGATATTGCTTTAAGTCTGGAATGCCTGGGGGAAGGCAGGGACCTTGAAAGGAGAACATATTCTTGGCTGTGAGCTCAGGTATGAATCCTATTTCTAGTCTTTGTTGTGTGTAATAAACTTGTTCTATTTTCATTCTTTATTAGCTTGGTGCTTGCAAGGGAGTTTCCATTTTAAGGAAACTACCCAGGCTAGCCATGTTTTCACTCCTTTCCAGGTTCACTCCTGATTCTCCAAACTTTCTCTATCATTCCCTCCATACTCTCCATTTTTCACCTTCCTCTTATGTATCATCTTCTCCCATTGGAAGGTAAGCTCCTTGAAGGCAGGGTCTGTCTATTTCATTATTTCTGCTTGTATTTTATATTCCCAGAGCTGAATATTACTTGGAACATAGTAAGTGCTTGATAAATGCTTTACTGACTTGGCTTGTTGACTTGAGGACACAAAAATAACAACTAAAAATGAAGCAAATTCAGATGTTACAAGAAAAGAGACTCTGGGTGAGGAGGCAGAAGCCATATTGTGTGTGTGTGTGCGTGTGTGTGTGTGTGTGTGTGTGTGTGTGTGTGGATAGATAAAGATATAGATACATAGACAGATATAGATAGATAAGCATCCAAGACTGAAACTGGTTTGTCTGTCCTCAGTTATCACATGGGTTTCATGTAAAGTCCTTTGTATACCATTAAGCACTATACAAATGTTTGCTATTTTTTAATATATATCTTTTCTCCTAGATTGTAGACTACATAAGGACAGAATTATAACTAAGGTGGGATGACTAGTTCTGAAAGTTGGAAGGCACTGATAGAACTTGCACTTTTCCACCGGATAAAAATAATTATACTTAGCCCCTAGTTAGTAAGAATAATTATTAAAATAGGAAGCTTCCAGATAGTTCTCCTGCTGGGGCCACACCACAGGTGATCTTCCCAGTCCAGTGCTGCTCTGCTCCCATCCCTTCATTGGTGGTGGCCTTTCCAACAGTGATATGTTGTATCTTGTTGTATCTTCATGGCATCCTGGGATTTCCATCTCTACATTATAGTGTAGTACCTCTGGTCTGCTAGGTAGTGCTATGGATGGGATGCTGAGCTTGAGTCAGGAAAACCTGAGGCACTTACTAGCTGCATGATCCTGGGCAAGTCACTTCAAATCTTTCTGCTTCAGTTTCCTCATCTGTTGTTTCTGTTGTTGTTGTTGTTATTGTTTGTCTGTTCTCATAGAGGATCATGACATCAGGAAGGTGATGTCATGACTTGCAAGTGAATTGGATTTAAGTGAGGGCGCACTGTGCAAAGTCACTAGCCTCACTCTCTCCTCTGGAGCCAACTGGGTCCGTTGGCAAGATACAGATCAGGATGACTGGAGATGACCCCCTCCTCACCTGTAAAATGGGGAAAATAATAACACCAACCTTTCAGGGTTGTTATAAAGATCAAATGAGAAAATATTTTTAAAGAACTTAACACAGTTCCTAGCACATAACAGGTAATAAATAAATCTTTCCTTCCTCTCTTCCTCCCTTTCTCCCTCTCTTCTTTTTTCCTCCCTCCCTTTCTTCCTTCCTTCTTTTCCTCTCTCCTTTTCTCCTTCCTTCCTTTCATCCTTCCTTCCCTTATTCTTCCCTATTTTCCTTTCTTCCCCTCTCCTTTGCTTCTTTTCCTTCCCTCCTCTCTTTCTTCCCTTCTTCCTTCTAGCCTCCTCCCTCCCTACCTCCCTTCCTTCTTTCCTAGCTACCTTCCTTCTCTCCTAGATACCTTCCTTCCTTCTTTCCCTCCTTCCTTCTTTAAGGCCTTGTATATTTGAAGTCTTAGATCTTTCCCTGAGGTTTCTTCATACCATACCACTTCTCATCCCACCCTACCCTAGTCACACTCAACTGAATTTGTCTTTGAAAGTTCATTTCTGGAGTCCTTTCTTTCCCGCGGCGTGTTCAGTGATGCTCGTCCTGTACACCAGAATTGCCAGGTATCGCTCTGCCAGTTGCAACATGGAATAGTGGAACAAGTACTAGATTAAGAGTCAGAAGGCTTTATGTTATACCACTACCAGCTGTGGGAAAGTCACTTCACCTTTTTGGGCCTCAGTCTCCTGATCTATAAAATAAGGGAATTGAACAAGATGATCACAAAGGTCTGTTCCAACTCTGACATTCTATGCCTGACTCATACTGGTGCCTCAATAAATATTTGTTGAACAAATGAATCTCTCTCCGTAGTCCTTTCCCCACCCCCACCCCCAGACTAACAATTTCATTGTTTAGGTGACTCCCAGTGAGGAAAGTCCCTCTGTTAATGAAGATCTGCAACTGCTTTGGGATTTAAAGGCTTGGAAAGTTGCTTGAGAGGGGCAGCTAGGTGGTGCAGTGGATAGAGCACTGGCCCTGAAGTCAGGAGGACCTGAGTTCAAATCCGGTCTCAGATCAAACACTTGACACTTACTAGCTGTGTGACCCTGGGCAAGTCACTTAACCCCAATTGCCTTAAAAAAAAAAAAAAGTTGCTTGAGGCACTGAAATGCAATGCCTAGCCCAGGTACAAACATGGCCAATTTGTGTCAGAAGCAAGATTTGAACTCAGGTTTTCCTGACTCCAATGCTAGTTTTCTATCCACTACACAGGCTTCTTTTCCCAGCACACAGTTATTTTTTTTTTCAAAGATGGTATCTCTACAGTTCCTAGCACTCTGGCAAATCTTTGCTGAGATCAAATCTACAGAAAAAAATAGCAACGCCAGTGAAGTGTGTCTCCAGCATCCTCATACCTCTACCTTTGTCTCCCACTGCATCCTGAACTATCTCCAGTTGTCTTGACTTACGTCTTGCCACAGGACTCCAATGATTCTGAAGGAGAGAGTGGAGCTGATGATTTTGCATGGCTGTGTCTCACCTAAACCCAACTCATTTACAAGTCAATACATCACCTTCCTGATGTCATTGGTCCTCTTCGAAAATGAAGGACTAACAACAATATATGAGTAACAGTAGCTGTCCGTCCAGAGGACCCAACAGACCGGTTCCAGTTGAGCGATGCTACTATTTCCTCCTCCTCCTCCTCCTTCTCCTCCTCTTCCTCTACCCACATGGGGAGTCATACCCTTAAATGTGGATGCTCTGTCCAAAGGAATATAAATTTTGTTCGCTTATACTTCACAAGATATCTTGGGGTTTAGGATAAATTAGATTTTTTTCTTCCCTATTTACTTATTTTATCATTTTTTAAATCTGGGACAATTACCTCTTCTGTCTCATGTAATTTTAATTTATGATTTCTTGAAATACACCTCTGGAAAACCAGGCTTTGATAAAGCCCATTGGGATTCAAGTGGAGCTACCTGACTATGCCTTTAAACCCAAATCACTCCAGGTCTCACCGATTGGTCAATAATAGGTCCCAGCCCAAGCCTCACTAGGTCATTGTTTTGGTTTTGATGACTCAGAGTGAGCAAATAGCAATGGTTTCTGTTCTGGCCAGAAGCAGAGAGTCTTCCTCTCCTTGACTGGTTCTTTTGCCTCAGTTCTTACCTAATGGGGGTTGCCTCAGACAACCTGAGACCTAGTAAAGACCCTCACTTAAAAAGGCCAAGGCCTCCCATTGCATCCAGGACCATCACCAGTCATCCTGACCTATGTCTTGTCACCGGACTCTGATGACTCTGGAGGAGAGAGTGAGGCTGATGACTTTGCACAGCCGTGCCTCACTTAAACCCAACTAACTTGCAAGTCAAGACATCACCCTCTTGATGTCATTG